CAAGGTGGTCGAAGAAGTCTGCACGGACGCGAAGAACATTGCCATCGCGTCTGGTGCGGATCCAGAGTCTGTCACGATTGTCGCAATCGAGAACATGCCCTTGCAATACGTCCAGATGCGTGCATCTCGGATTGTCGTTAGAGCTGTACGTTGGCGCGAAACCCCTTCCCTTTACAGACCTTGGACTAACGCCTTGGTGATCAGGCTGGAACTTTGAACCAGAAAGCCCTCCTCCATTATGTTCCGACTGAAAGCTCCGAAGACCTTGCGGCACTGCAGGAAGTCCTCGAGGAGCGTGTCTCGGCTAAGACGAACGCCGAGAAAGATCCCAAGGACTTCCTGGTCAGTCCGTCAGCTTCGATCGACATCCGCCAATACAAGCCCGAAGTCGACAAGAACGGCGTATGGTGGGTATCCGAGATCGACTGCGAGTTTTTGGCCACGGGTTGTAGTACCCTCGCATGTGGCGGTGGAGGACCTGGATATATGTGCTACATGGCGGCCAGAGCAGCAATCAAAGCCGGCGAGCGCTTGCCAGTAGTTGACGCTGAGGCCTTGCCTGATGACATTTATGTCCTCGGTAGTATTTCATATGGGTATGTTCCGTCCTTCTCTTTGCGGCTATCAAGACTCACAACAACGCTCTAGTGCCCCGACTGTGACCCTGGAGCGTATCCCCAGCGGTACAGAGTCCGTGGACGCCACCGACGCTCTGCTGAGCTGTTTCCCCGGAATCAAGATGGGAGCCCAGATTGCGGTATGATGATAAAGTCCTGTATCGAAAATTCCCCTTGGCTGACCGAACGGGCACAGCTCGAGATCGGAGGAATGAACGGCATTCGTCCACTTCTTGTCGCAAATAGCTATGGGGGTATCCCAACCATAGACGGCGATTACATGGGAAGAGCCTATCCACGGCTCGGCCTGGACACTCCTGCCCGTAAGCTCCATATCAACTGCCTTGTGGACGATGACTGATCAGAGATAGTATTTGACTTCCCCCTTTCGCCCTGCACGCAGAGTGACGGCATGGGCAACGTCGTCACGGTCCACAAAGCGGCGTCGACGGAGAAGCTCGAGAAGATCCACCGCAAGGCCGGCCAGGAACTGGGTCTGTTCTCGCAGATGGTCTGGCCGCCCATGTCGGTCAAAGACACCAAGATAATGGGCACATTGGGCACCACCTCTTTGGCATGGTATATCGGCCGAGCCGTGTACCTCGCCAAGCAAGAGAAGACGGATATCATGAAAGCCATTGTAAGAAAAATTGTCCTTCCTCCTACGTGCATGAGGAGCGAAGAAGACTAACAGCTGGTGCTCAGATCGAAGCAAATCCTTCCGGACGTGTCTTGTACACTGGCAAAATCGTGTCCGTCAACCGATACGTCTCAGCCGGTGGCTACACGGAAGGTACCGTGCGTCTCAAGCCCATTTCCAGCGACGAGATGGAATACGGAGACACCGCGTCGGCGGAGACGCGCGACATGATCCTCCCGTTCCAGAACGAGTACCTCTACGCCGAGCTTGTCGAGCCAGATGCGCCAAAGGGCACCAAGGGCGAGATTCTGTGCACCGTTCCCGACTTGATATCGCTTATTGGCACGGACGGTTATGCGTTGGGAACCCAGGATCTACGCTACGGTGTCCGAGTTAGTGTGGTGGCGTTCGTTGCTCACCGGCATTGGTAAGTCATGTCGTCCGGATAGATCTTGTCTTTGAATAACTGAGGGGATCGCTAACACCATGACAGGTATACACCAAGAGGTGTTGAGACCGGAGGGCCGAAGGCATTTGGTTACGATATGGACTTTGTCCCCCTCGGTACGCCATATTACGAGCCCAAGCGGGTGACCAAGGAGTTCCGCACTACGTCATGAGCGAGATGCTTCCATAAAGCCAGCTATTGTCACTCAGCAGCACCCCAGATGATTATGCCAATTCGCGTTGACCTGGCACCGGGTGGCGGACATGCGAGAGACAACATCATAACCTCCGCCCACAACGTGTTGTTGCTCGGCCCGAAATTGCTCGGCATTCCATTGGGACAGAATCCAGCCTAACCTTTCGGCCCGAGAAGGACAACTTCACAGACACTTTCGACCATTGCTACGCATGTCGTGGGAATCGTTTCAAGAAACGGCGTTATCAGTTGCCCCTATCTATCCAGATTACGAGTAGATGTGCGAAACCAGAACGACAGCACGAGATTTATATACCCAGGGAAGGGGATGGGGAGGATAAACTAGATGAATATATACATACATTATATACATTATATACATTACATAGTCTTACCAATAGATTCAAAAAGATGTCACCTTGGCTTTTGTATATTATAGTATGAACGTCTAGTGAACACACAATCGAAGGCCTCAAGAGGTCTGGGTGCGCCCCAAGAATCGTGGTGGCTCTGCTCGCTACACGAGGTATACCTTGCCCAATACGAATATAATAGGAGAAGAGAATATTGACTCCAGCCTATCAGCGGCACATCCACCAAATTTCAGAACCACGAACCTTTAGTTAGATGCTTGCATTTCGTTGCACCAAAATTCAGGGAAGGTAAGGAGGGGTGTTGTCAAGGATGCTGATAAATCTCATGGAAGGTCGGGGCTTGAACTGCTCCGCTGGAAAACAACAAAAGGCTTGTGCACGACTTGGCTTTGTGGGTGTATAAGAGATGTTGAGTCCTGGGAGGTGCTCGAGGTTTGATAGTATCGCGATCAGTCGATTCCTAGGAGGATGCTTGTGTAAGTACTTCCCCTCGAGATATCATATAGAGAAAGCATGGCTTCCACAGCAATCGTCAACGCCCACGTTTTCGACGGCGAAAATGTCTTCCCAGCAACCACGACGGTGGTCGTATCCGGTGCGACGATAACTGCCGTGGGAGGGACCGTCCCGGACGGAGCCACAGTGATCAACGGCGAAGGCTGCACGTTGTTACCCGGCCTCATTGACTCCCACGTCCATACTGGCATCCCGCAACTGGAACTCGCCCTCAAGTTCGGGGTCACGACCGAGCTGGAGATGATGGGCTACTGGGACGCGGAGTCGCGACAACAAATCGCCGAGCGCGACGACCTCGCGGACCTGCGCACAGCAAGTTATGGTTTGACAGCCCCAGACGGCCATCCGAACCAGTTGACCAAGCGCCTCGATGCGTCGGTGCCGCTGCCACATCACCACCATCATGAGACCCCGTCGGGCGAAGCGGTGCTCACGACCGCGACCACTCCCGACGAGGCGGTCACTTTCGTCAAACAACGCGTCAGCGAAGGGGCAGATTACATCAAGATCATGATCGAAGACGGCACGGTCTTTGCGTCGCCGGGGCTGCCGATGCTGTCTCGAGAAACGCTCTCGGCCGCGGTGACCGAGGCACACAAGCACGACAAATTGGTAATTGCCCATGCGATGACTTATGAAGCCGCAGAAGTTGCCGCCGAGGTCGGTGTCGACGGTCTGTCTCACTTGTTTCTCGACCGAGGCGCGGATCCTAACATCCTGGAGAAGCTCAAGGGCAAATTCATCATACCGTGTCTCTGCCTCGACGCTTCCATCCTGGGCATCAAACCCACCACCTTCGCCAGCGATCATCGAGTATCCGCTTCACTTCCGCAAACTTGGCTCACCCACCTCAACGGGAGCATGGACACCTTCCCCGGCGGCGACTTCTCCACCGTGCTCAAGACCGTAGCGGCCCTGCGTGCAATGGGAACCATCGACGTTCTCGTCGGCACGGACAGCTCCTTCCCCGTACCCCATCTCGCGGGCATCGCCCACGGCGCCAGTGTTCACTACGAACTGCAGCTTTTGGTAGAAGCCGGGTTCACGCCCGTCGAGGCATTGCGTGGCGCGACGAGCGTTCCTGCCCGGCGCTTTGGGCTCGGCGATCGGGGATTGATCAGAGAGGGGATGCGTGCGGATTTGGTCCTTGTGCAGGGAGATCCGACGGGGGATATTCGCGATACGCTCTCCATAAAATCTGTTTGGAGGAGAGGGAAGTTGTTGGCTTCCACCGCTGGTTTATAATATACCTGGGTTTGCAGGTCTGGAGCGTGTGTAGAATCAGCTAAGAGGATGGAAAGTGGGAAATTAAATTTGGACTGCGTGTACTGCCATGAACATGAGGTGAGATATTTGCTGCTCAAGTACCGGGATCCGCCCCTGTGCGCCATTGTTTTGAGGCAGGTTGAGCAGCCCAACTATACTATAGTTCCCAGCACCATCAGCCGGGACCCTACCTGGCTCGCGGGTGGAGAAGTATTCCAAGCACGGCAAATGCTTCGCTTCTCGTGGTTTCCTCTACAATACGCAGGGTCAGGATCTTCTACAAGGCATTCAGAATGGGAGAATGTAGAGGTCGTGACAACGGAGTTTGTGGCTCATCCCATCATACACGATCAAGGGTATGACTTTAGGACATAGTGCTGTGACTGACGAACAAGAAAAGCAGCGGGCATTTCTGCAAGAACGTGCCAAGGTCTTGGCGCTAGTCTACCTACCTAGTACTATTACGGGTGCACCTAATAGGCATCCCTATAGAACTGGCTCCCGTGCTTCTCGGCCCTCTCACCTCTTCTTCCGTTTTTTATCCGCCTCTCTCTCGGTTGCCTTTACCTGTTGCTAAACAAGCAGACGGTGCTGAAGATATTGTTTCCCCTTCCTAGAATTGACCCTAGCCCATTGATGTGTCTCATTTTCAAGGATTCTCCGGGGTCGTCCGTTTCAGATTCAAGGTCCGAGGAAGGGCGGTACCTTTTGCCACACCTGCTCATCCACGAGACGATGGGCGCAGATGTGGGCAGCCGAGGCTGCACTAACGAGGTACGGAACAACGGTCAACAGACCCATTCAAACAAGTTGAGCAATGCCGTTGCGGTAAAACCATATATCTATGTTGAGGGCTACTAACAAAGGCATTATTGGCGACCTCAAACCCACCAATTCGTCGGGATTGCCAGTCACAGCACAGGCGACCTTTCCTACACGCAAGCATGAGCACCTCAAAGCGACCATTGCGAATATGTGTAAGCAGCTCCAAATTGCGTGTCACGGACACGGTCAGGAATCTAAAATCGGTGCTCGAAATCTTTAGGGTGTCAGCGGTTCAGCGTTGGACAGGCGACATGGATTCGAAGCCGCTCTGGGGTCTACCGAACAAATTGACTTTCTCACGGGAGATTGGTTGTCTGAGGGCAATATGGCAAGTTCGGCCATAAAAAAGCTCAGCAGGAATTGTAAGTTCTATCCCCCACGATATGGTGAAGCTGTTGCTCAACACCCTTTGTGCGAGCAGCAAATCCAGCCCTCGAGATATATGGCTTTGAAGAGTCCTTCTTGGCTTCAATTACACCACAACTTCGCAACATTGAGGCTAGAAAAATCAAGGTGGTGGTCAATGCGGGTGCTGCAGAGCCCGGTGTTCTTTGCCAACGACTTGGTGAGGTAGTCCAAGGTCAGGGGCTTGGCTTGAAGACGGCGTGGATATCGGGCGACGATGTCCTTGGTTCTCTTCGAGAGGCCGCGTCTATAGGTCAGACCGATCTGATCAACCTGACGACGGGAGAACGGATGGAAGCGATTCCAAACGAGACCGTCTTTGCTCAGGCCTATCTGGGTGCCCGGGGCATCGTGAAAGCCTTGGAAGAAGGTGCGGACATTGTCATTTGTGGTCGAGTTGCCGATGCGAGCCCAGCAATCGGCGCCGCCATGTGGTGGCACCGGTGGAGGCCTGAGCAACACGAGCAGCTGGCCAACGCCTTCGTCGCCGGTCACTTGATCGAGTGTTCGACATATGTCACGGGTGGCAACTTTTCCGGATTCAAAACCGTACCAGGAAATGACGACTTGGGCTTTCCCATCGTCGAAATCTCAGGCAGCGGCGAAGTTGTTATCACCAAGATGGCGACTTCAGGTGGCGTGGTAAATGTGGACACAGTGACAGCACAGCTGCTCTATGAAATTCAGGGACCATTGTAGGCCGTAATCCTTTCTTGCTGCTGGCAACAGTGTGAGTGTGTGAAGCTGACAAGCTTGCAGATACTATCATTCCGATGTTACTGCACGGTTGGACAGTATTTCGCTCGACACTGTTGGCCCAAACAGGGTTCAGATCAAAGGAGTCGTGGGCCTTCCACCGCCTCCGACGACCAAGGTAGGCTTCACAAGCAAGACACGCTATAAAGCCGAGCTTCACTGGTCTCTCGTTGGCCTTGATATCGCCGAAAAAGCCAATTTACTTGAGAAGAATATCAAATCTAGTCTAGGAGAGTCGGCCATGTCCAAGTTTTCTCTCATCAACTTTACCACGCACGGCGTTTGCCCAGCAAATCCAGCATCGCAAAACGATGCCACTGTGGATTTTCGCGTTTTTGTCCAGGCAGGATCTCAGGAAGACCTTGACTACAAGAATTGGATCGAACCTGTTCTGAATGTCATCATGTGCTCGTAAGCACCACCTCGTGGTTTTGTTTCTTCCTCGATTTGAAGTGCTGATTTTGTTTCTAGATATCCTGGGGCGACCATGCAGCCGGTAAGCCACTGTTTTGTTCATGGATTTGTCTCTCTGTTTGGCCATGTTGGAGCATCTGGACTGACGCATTGCTGCCAGGCAATCACTGCTGGAATCCCACAGCCGTATAATGAATATTGCGTGGCGCTGATGCCGCAACGAATGGTACAACACAAAGCCCACGTGGCAACAAACTCCTACGATGTCCCACATCCTGTTGTCACCCAAGTCTACCCTGCACAGCAAGATAGCTATGAGTTCTCCCACCCTGTCGAGCTCGCCAGTTTTGGAGAGACGGTCGCGGCTCCCTTGGGTCTCATCGTCCATGCTCGGTCGGGGGACAAAGGCAGCGATGCTAATGTCGGATTTTGGGTCCGGAATGACGACGAATACGACTGGCTTCGTACTCTTTTGACAGTGGATAAGATCAAAGAACTGCTCGGCATTGAACACAGCCCTGGTAACAAGATCGACCGCTTTGAACTTCCCGGGATCCGGGCGGTACACTTCCTCCTGCATGGTCACCTGGACAGAGGTATCAACAGTACCAGCACGTATGATATCTTGGGCAAGAATGTGGCCGAGTTTTTACGAGCTAGACACGTGCCTCTACCCAAGAGATTTATGTCCCGGGGAACCATTTAGCATCTATGTCGATGGTCGTGATACGTCAGCAAACCATCTAGCCTGAGACTATTTCCAGATCTTTTCTATAGACATCGAATGACTGGACCTCAGACTATTATTGGTTCACCTCACGTTAAACCCCGCTCACGGACTTGTGTCATTCCGACGACCGTTATTTTATTTGTGTCAGTGCGCAGTCTCAAAATGAGGAGAGAAGGAGGGAAGCGCTCTCTGCTCCGCCGCACCGAGTTCAACCATGTATTGCATGTTGCTCATGGAGGTTGTCACACTTGTCCCGACCGGCCTGACGGATCGATCATCTCCACCATGACTTAGTTTGCTTTCGATAACAGAGGGGGTGGGCAGCCCCCCTGCCTCGGTTCTAGTATCCAACTGAGCCTCCGAGGCGGCAAGCCGGTATGAGTTCTTGTGTGAATGGACGGTAAGTCAACCTTCGAGATGCTTGCATCGCCTTTGTAACCGGACTACAAGATCGCTATGCAAGCTGCTGTTAAATCTTAGCGATAGATCGCTGTCCTCATTTTATTTTCGAGATCACCGAATCAAAACGACAGCACCGGGAGAATGGAAGACCTGAAAGGGAGCCTTTGCAAGGGCGCCGCCCAAGTCTTACTGGACCATTTGATAACAATCAAAGAGCTTGACCTGCCAGAGGAAGTGGTCCAAGGTGCAAAGCAGGTTACTTTTGTTCCCAAGAATGCTTGTACCTTTCTGCCCACGTCTCTGAGGATGGCAGAGTCGTCTGCCGCGCTGTGGGCAGCGATCGGGCTCTTTGCGGGCCAGATTTCTTCGCACCGCTATGACCTGCCACCCCAGAGCGTGACGATAGACGTCTACTCGGCGACACTCTTCCTCATGTCGTCGTTTCTGTTCAAATCGCAAGGAAAGACGATTGCGGACCCTCATTTGGTCAACCGCTGTCTGCCGATGGACTTGGGCAAAATCCGAGAAACCTATCGAGGGCCGGCGACCAATATGTGAGTCATGGGCCCCCCTTTGCGAGACAACATGATAGCTGACGTGCTTCTCTCTCCCCCACCATAAGCTATCGAGCCCGAGACGCCAAGTTTTATCACCTTCACGGCAGTCTGAACACCACGCCGATCCTTCGTATGCTGGGCCTCCCACAACATCGGCCTGACCTCGAGGGAAGAGAAAACTACGATCGTGTGCGACAGATCTATCGTGACGCTGTGGCCCAACATGATAGCACATGGCTGGATATCGAGAGCAACGAGTATTGGCGTTCCGCTGGGACCATCTGCTACACTCCAGAGGAGTTTCAAGAGACGTCTCACGGAAAGGTCATCTCCCAAGAGCCACTTTACACGGTGAACTTGGTCTCCCCGGAGCTTCCTCCGGTCCCCTGGGTGACTGTCGATGATGATCGGAGACGTCCATTAGCCGGTGTTCGCGTCCTAGACTTGAGCCGCGTGGTGGCGGGTCCGACCATTTCGAGTGTGTTGGCGCTCTTGGGGGCCGAAGTGCTACGGATATCCAGCGACAAACTCCCAGACACCGTCCTCCTCTACGACACCCAGATCGGCAAGCGCGACACCAGGCTCCATCTCAAAAACCCAGAGGAGAAGGGGAAGTTGAAGAGGCTCGTGGAGGAGGCTGACGTTTTGGTCGATGCGTATCGGCCCGGTGCTCTCGAAAGGTTGGGTTTCGGGCGCAGGGAGCTCCAGGAAATTGCCAAAAGGCGAAACAAAGGCATTGTACACGTCCGGGAGAACTGTTACGGCTGGAAAGGAGAGTGGTCTCATCGATCTGGCTGGCAGCAGATAGCCGATGCAGTGAGCCAACACCACTCTCGGAGTTTCTGAGCAGAGAATTTGCTAATTCACGTCCAGGTATCGGGTGTCACCTGGGTGCAAGGCGAGTTTCTGGGTTTGAAAGAGCCCATCATCCCTCTCCTGCCAAACTCTGACTATCAGTATGTCCATCCGATAACCCACGTCCCGGCATCTGGTTAGATGAGATTCAAGGTTCTGACACGTATACAGGACCGGACTGATCGGGGCGATGGCCATCTGTCAAGCGCTCTGGAAACGCCACCGCGTCGGTGGGTCATACAATGTCGATATTTCTTTGACGCAGTACAACCTGTGGTTGATGAAATTGGGCATTCATGACCAGGAGACCTGTGGCAAGATTCGCTCGTTGAACCCTCGGTTTAAAGCACGCCACGACACAGAGTTGCCCAGTTTGCTGACCCAGGTGAAGGAGGAATCAAAGATAAGCCTGGGTGTCGGGCCTGGAAAACTCTGGGACCCGGCGAGGTTCACGACGAGCAAAATGCGGTGGGGATTTCCTGACGAGGAGGCCTCACACTTGGACTGGAGGACGATCATCAGCTTCGAGAGCAGTCATGGAGCCAAGGAAGTTGCGCTGGGATATGACCGAGGATCTTGTGCTCCCGGCAGTGACGAACCCATTTGGCTGACCGGCTGATGGCTGGCAAAAGGTATGGTTGGTTTTGCTTCGGCCAGCCAGCTGCCATGGGGGGAGGATTAGTTATATTAAAACTAGGCAAAAGAATTTCCCAAACAGTTTAAAGAAAAGACTTTTGCGGACGGACTGCTGCATCAAGACATCTCGCGTCTCGAGAGACCATCGGCTTTATTTGTGTAGCATCAATGCCCTGATGCGTGACTACCACAGACCTGCCCCCTAAGCTAGCACTTTCACTCTTCCCCAGAGACCTCCTTTTTTCCCCGTACATACCAATTCAATCCCTTGGGTTCAGCACATTCTCACAATGAGCGAATGACTCGGCACTTTTCGGCTTAGGGCTCTGTCACAGCCATTGGAAATCGAATTTCGAACGGGCTCCCCGAGAATTTCACGTCGTTGTTCAACATGCTCTCTCAGAGGGGTGGTTGTTGGAATACCTCGGATATGCATCGGCGGAGGGACTTTCCAAGCGCATCGCCCGCCCCCGCCCCCAACCCACATCACCCGCTAACCCCAGACAAGCCCTCCGCATTAGGGTTATTGCCCAGCTAGGAACAACAACCGCGTTTAGTCTTTTCGAGGATATTTCTTGGTGGTCAGGGCCCGAAAAGGGCGCCAAAGGAAATGATATAGACTGTAGTACTATATGTATGGGACAGTCTCCCCACGTCTCTGACCACTTTGCCGCTCCCTCTTGTGATCTTGTTGGTTCGAAACCCAAGCCAGCTCGATTGCCATACTTCAAGTCACGAGTATCCCTGCTTGCTGCCGCCAGAATGACGTACCTGAGCGACGAGGCTGCTGTTGCCGCCGATGAAAAGGCCCCTACCAGCGAGAAGACCACCGCTCCCACGTCGGAGCATGCAGAGGCCCAGGGCGACGCCACGGAGCTGGAACACATTGACATCACGAACAAACATGCTTATAAAGCAGACAATTCTGACGGCGTCATCGAATGGTCCTGGAGAGGAAAGCTCTCGGTCATCTGTCTCTGTGCTCTTTATGTCGGTGAGTGCTTCTTTGGTTCTGCCGGGAACACATCAACTGGCCCGTTCCCCACCCCGGGGGGCGAGTGGGGGGTCATATTAAGAGCTCTCTGTGGTCTGAATCAACTGGCTGACGTCTCTCGGTACAATGGCATTAGGCGCACAGCTCCCCCTCTACTTTGTGGGAGGGTCATTGAGCTTGATAGCGGCAGACCTGAACATAATCGACGGCGCAGCCTGGCTGGGCGTCTCCAATAACCTGGCAGTGGCGGCAGTGGCTCCCTTCTGTGGCTATCTCCAAGATCTCTTTGGCAAGCGGAACGTGGTGCTGGCTGGTTGCCTGTTGGTCCTGGTGGGATCCGTGGTCATGGGGACCAGCCATGGCTTGAGCCAGGCCGCCGCCGGGATGTCCATCGAAGGCGCTGGCGCAGGCATCTTGGAGCTGACCTCCATTGCAGGGTGAGCTCTCGTAGAGTGACAGCTCGGACGATGGGTCCAACAGAATGACACTATGTACTAACGTGCTCTAGGGTATCGGAGCTGGTCCCCGTGGCGAAACGCGGCCTCTATCTCGCCCTTCTTCAAGCCGCAATCATCCCCTTTTGGCCTTACATTATGTATGCGCAATTGCTTGCCACCTACTCCACCTGGAGATGGTGTATGTGGATCTCTTGGTAAGCTCCTTACTCTGACCTCTTTTGCTGGTTTGTGTATCTTACATCTCGGTCGATGATTAGTATTTGGGTTGGGCTTGCTGCAGTCGGATTGGCCTTGGTCTACTTCCCGCACAACCACAACCGTGCCGAAGGGGTTTCTCGTAGAACTCTCCTCAGGAGTTTCGATTATCTTGGTTCTGTCAGCTCTATCGTCGGTCTGACACTGTTGTGAGTGACTGATAATCCCTTGTCCTCCATATCCCCGTTGTTGTTGGGAGGTTTGCGAGTCAAAAATCCATGGCACACAAGGAACTGACCAAACGACCGACACAGTCTGGTGGCCATTCAGTCCGGAGGATATACCCATCCTTGGAAGAGTGCCTATGTTCTGGTCACTCTTCTGCTGGGCGCACTCCTGATCATTTTCTTCGTCGTTTGGGAAGCCAAATTTGCCCGAGCACCCATCGTCCCTAGGGAAATGTTCTCGGGTCAACGGATCGTCGCCCTGGCTTACTGCATCGGCTTCGTCTCGGGGCTCAACTTTTATTCGATTCTGAACTTCTTTCCCATCTTAATGTCCCAAGTCTACGACCCTGACCCGGTGCAAGTTGGACTCAAGGGATTGGGCTATGGGTGCTGCATCGGCGTCGGGTCCATGGCAGGCAACGTGGCAGTCGCAAGGTTCCGCCGGCACCATCGAGAAGTTCTCCTCTTCTTCATTCTGATCATGAGCAAGTCCCCCAACCCTTTCCGGTTCAGACGGGTGGTTCACTAACTTGAATGCAGCCTCTTTTACTGGCGCTTTAGCCGTGAACAATCCCACCAACCCCAAGCTCGTCACTGCGCTATTGAGCTTGGCTTCCTTTGGCATCGGAGGTGTCTTGGTTCCAACCGCGACTGTAGCCCTTACGGCCACTCCTGACACCGTTATCGCGACGACCGTGGCACTGTCACTCTCTGTGAGACTGGGCGGCGGTGCCATCGGCTATTCGATTTACTACAACATCTTTGCAAGCAAACTCAAGAGCAAACTACCCCCGCTCGTTGCAGAATACGCGGTCAAAGCCGGGTTGCCGTTGACTTCAGCACCCCTGTTTGTCGAAACGTTCCGCACCAATCCAGCCGCTGTTACCACAGTTTCTGGCGTCACAAATGTCGTCATCCAAGCTGCCACCTTGGGGGTCAAATGGGCGTACGCCGAGTCGCTGAAGTATGTGTGGTATACCAGCATTCCATTTGGAGTCTTGTCCATCGTCGCCTGCCTCTTTCTGCCGGACACGTCGAAATACATGACTAACCGCATCTCGGTCCATCTGGCCTAAGAGACAAGCCGTGCCTTATCAGAAGAGCGACCGAGTCAGTGATATCGAAAACCAAGAGGACCGGCATAAGCCAGGAACATGACCGCTGATGCTGATGACCGCCTCAGCCGAGAGAGCTCTCTGATGTTTCGAGGCTTTTATTGCCAACCTGGTCTCAGTGTCCTCAAAAGGTAGCCAACACATGCGTATACCGTATAGCTTGATAGATTGGCATAGACGAGGCCACCCCCAGTAAGCATCCGCATATGTCTACCTTGTTGACTGCGCAAAATATGAAACCTAGAGTTGTCCCTTTCTCACGCCATGTATTTTTAGCGCATTTACACACCTCAAAGACATTCACAGTACCAAAGACCTTTTTCTATCAATGACCTTGACCGCTATTGTGCTTAAGCAACTTCTTTCGCAGTTTTCATGCATGTTCTGATCCCCGCTGGTTGTAGGTCCGGTCGGGTCGACTAGACCGGTCACGGGCTGGAACCCAGGTAGACCCGCCCCGACCCCACCCGACCCATGTCAGAGCCTACCAATAAGGTTAGTTTAAAGACATCCAATGGGTTATCACATCGACATGAACAAGGCCGAGGTATGCCCTCTGTTATTCATGTACCTAGCAGGAACAAACTCAGAGTGGAATTAATGTACTAGCAGTACCTCGTAGTTCCTACTAAGTATTAAGCGAACTTGCTGTCGGGCTTACTGTCCCGACGCATTCCCCAAATGTACTCCATACGATGGATGTACTACTGCAGGTACAATTCCCCACAGCTAATTTCACCCTACATGGTGCGAGAGACTGGGTACAAGGGGCCTCCAAGAAGCAAATTTGCATGAATGAAGAACCGTCATTCAGTCTACTTTGTTCCTTTGGCGAATATCCGTAGGCCGAGAGGTACTGCCGTGCCCGCCCCCGCATTGTGTTTTGCAAGATCAACTCCCGGCAATTTTGCGCATATACATATGCTCGAGATGCTGTCTTTGCAACAACTTCTCTCACCAACTATTAGCAATCTCTATTTCCAGACCGAAGGCTGTTCGGTTGTACATTCGTTTCAACATGTTGTTTCTTCTCCTGCTCAGCATCTTTCATGCCCTCTCTTCTCACGCCCAAGAGACGACGGTGATCCCACCACTTGTTCAACTGGGCGACTCTATTGTGGAATTCACGTCTAGCGGGTCGAGCTTGGACGGCCCCAAGCTTTCCGAGGTCAACGCCACCACCTTTGATTGGTGGTACTTTGACGTTGTCTCGGAAGATCTGCAGACGGAGGCCACCATTCTCTTGGTAACCGGTGACAGTCTGACTCTTGGCTTTCCTTTCACCCTGGGCACGTCGAACTATGGCATTCTCACCGTGCTCCAAGAGGACGGGAATATTTATCAGGAGATCTTCCCGGCCGGCGACGCAACCGTGACTGTCAACGGGGATGGATCATCGGCCAACTGGGAAGGAAGCGGTGTGTCGTGGACTGGAGCGGCCGACCTCTCGTCATACAAAGTCAACATCGATGTCCCGTTGCTTGGTGTCAGTGGGACCATCTCACTCCAATCGGTAACTATCACCGTATCATCTAGTTGCATCGTATCTTAACTACTCACACTGTGACCAGGTTGCGCCAGCACACTTTCCTTGCGGCCCTAACGAGGCTGGACAAACAGAAGAGCTGTTCCCTAATATCGGATGGGCCAACGCCATTCCTGATGCCGTAGGGACCGTCGACCTTGACCTCGCAGGTACAAAAATGTCTTTTAATGGCCCAGGCTATCATGACAAGGTAAGACCCGGAATAAATCCGCCCGTTTCGGGCGGCATTGCTTATTTTGATCGCAGAATTGGGGTGCAAGGCGTCTTCCATCCACGGTTACGAGCTGGTACTGGGGCCACGGCCACGTCGGTCCATACTCTCTTGTCTGGTTCGACGCCATCGCCATCGACGGTCAGGAATACTTCAGCGGCTACCTGAGCAAAGATGGTACCATAGTCTCAGCGGGATGTAGCGGTATCACGGTTCGCCCGACGGGAGACAACTCGGAATATCCTCCTGCTCCGCTCCAAGGAGATCCAAGTGGATTCCACATCGAATACGCTACCGACGATGGAAACTTTGTGGTTGATGTGGAAAACTATGCAGTTGCGTGGAAGCCACCTTTGATCTCTGGTGGGTATACTCGCTGGAGCGGAAACATCACAGGAGGCTTCGAAGGTCAAGAGACGTATACGGGAGCAACAGTGCATGAGTGGATTCGCTTCTACATCAACGTTTGAATAGGATCTCATGTCCTAACATTTTTCACTGGGTGGGCTGTGGAGGAGAAGAAAATGAGATGGAACGCACACGGCTTTTTCCTTTCTGGATATTCGACGACCGCGCCTCGCCAAGGTCAATGATGCTTTAATATCACTTTCGATCGCGTGTGTTTCCAAGTCTCCGTGCTCGACGGGGACTTTAAGAATACACAACTATTATAATAATATGACCTTGAATCTTGGCTTATCATTCTCTTGTGCCGTGACAGTTTCTGGTAAAAGTCTAGTAAAGTCCACCATCTCTCGAAGCATTACTTGATTCTTTGGACTGGCAAGGTTTGGGGAGAAGGGAAAAACCCCCAAAAGGATGATTGGAACCTCAACAGAATTGAGAAGAGTCGGGAACTGTCGGGAAATATTTGTATACTGAATGAGAGCCATGTGGTCGAGTCACCTTATGCATCGGCTGAGACCGTGTTTGTCTTTACCAGCCAGACGCTGTTTGGACCCACTCCATACTATGACCCTTAGGCATCCTACAACGCCTCTTACTGTACTTGTACATATTGGATACACCACCTACAAGTCTCATCAGCGCCTGGGGTAGCTATGCGGGAAAATGGGAGCGGGAACAAAATATTCATTCCCAAGGTTTTGGTGTTTGTTTATTGCACCGCCCACCCCCGCCCCTTTCCTTTCACCGAGGCATCAAGGTTAATGAAAATCGTCGGTTCGGGGAAGTACATCATTGTTAAAAAGTAAGGCCGTTCACCTCGCCCACAACAGCGAGACAAGACTCGCACAGGCAACCGAGTCCAAACAAAGGGTTTTTTTCGAGGAAAGGGGGCCCATCATGTCGCCGACGGTGGTGCGGGAAAAGTATACGGTTCTTGATCAATATCACTCCCAACGCGCAAAGATTCGGGTGGTATGTGCGGGCGCCGGGGTGACGGGTCTTTACCTGGCATATCGCATGCAGAAGGTCATGAGAAATTTTGAACTTCAAGTCTATGAGAAAAATCCCCAGTGTGGTGGGACTTGGTTTGAGAGTAAGAAAGACTCCGGCGTTCCTTGGAGGTGGGTGAGCAAAGTGAAATACTGATTGATTGATTTGCCCCAAAAAAGACAATTATCCAGGTTGTGCCTGTGATGTGCCCTCGCACAACTATACCTACACTTTCCGACCGGTTCGTCTGCAGCCCCGAGCACTAGAGCATACCGTGCTTCTTATTCCTTGGGCTGACGGCCACTACAGAACCCTCGCTTTAGCAGTTACTACGCCGGCTCGGCAGAGCTGCTTGCGTATTTCAAAGGTAGGCTCACATCTGTCATTCAACAGCTGCAGTTGGGTCCGCCGCGCTGAACTCCTCCATTGCAGATTTCAAGGACGAATTTGGGCTGGACAAGTTTATTGAATACGAGTCCAAGGTCACAAAGGCCGTCTACGATGAAGAAAATGGCACTTGGTCCCTGGATATTACACGTGCGAATGGCGAAACCCACAAGGACTGGTGCCATGTGTTCATCAATGCTACCGGCATCTTGAATCGGTGGAGATGTTGGTGATGCCCGACCTCTCGGTGCACTGGAACTATCTCTAACAAACAATCTAGGGCCTGACATTCCCGGACGAGAAAAGTATACCGGCACCATCTTGCATTCGGCGGCTTGGGACACGAGCGCGGATTGGAAAGGGAAAAAGGTTGCCATCATTGGTACTGGCAGTTCGGCAATCCAGATCACGCCAAAGGTGCAGCAAGGTACGGTCTCCAGCCTCTGCGAAACTGCTCATGTTTTTGACTCTTTGGCCTTGTGTCCAGGTGCCGAACATCTTACCATCTTTGTCCGCTCTCCGACGTGGATAGCTCCTCAGCTTGGAGGCCTGGTCTCCCTGGATGCGGATCCTGTTCACGAAGGTGACACCCCGGTCAACCAGATTCTGCTCCGAGGCGCACGGCCATTTGAATTCACCGAAGCAGACAAGAAGAATTTTGAAGAACACCCAGAACTCCTCCTACACCTGCGTCGCAAGATGGAACTCTTGATCTGTAACAATGTCGACAACTTTCGGGTGGGAACTTCTGTACAGAAGCAGACTGAAGAATACATCCGCGCCGCCATGACTGCTAAACTCGAGGGCTTTGACGAGCTTCAGAGAAAGATGATCCCGGATTTCCCGAGCGGATGTCGGAGATATACTCCAGGTGAGATTAGTCCCCACGTCTCGTTTTCCTTTTTTGGGGCCAAGAGGAGCTCCTGCTAAGCCAGTACTTATTCAATGGACAGGGGAAGGATATCTTGAAAGCCTGTGCAAGGAAAACGTTTCCACCGTCTTCGACACAATTACAGAATTCACCGAAAAAGGAATGAAGACCGAGGATGGACAGGAGCGTGAATTTGACATGATCATTTGCGCGACAGGGTTTGACGTGGCTTTTACACCGTTTATCGACATCATTGGCAGACATGGCATCAACATCAGAGATTTGTGGAAGGACGAGCCAAAGTGAGTGTTTATGGAAACCGGATCATCCAGGCCACAAAGCACGGCCTACTGACCCTGCCACTCTAGTGCCTACTTGGGTATCGCTGCCCCTGGCTTCCCGAACTACTTTGTCGCTCTTGGACCTCGAGGACCTTGGGGCAATGGATCAATCATTCCAGCCGTGAGTCGACATATCAGAGAAACCCCCCTCCACGACCTGCCAATGACTAATATTCTTACGCACCAAACTTTTAGATGGAAATCAACTCAGATTACTTTATTACGATGATGGAAAAGATGCAGAAGCAAAACATAAAATCCTTTGACGTGAAACAACAAGCAGCCGATGACTTTTGCGAGCATGTGGACGAGTGGTATGTTTTCTATGTGTGGCTTTCAATTCGTCAAACATGGTTTTCTGACCTTGTCTTTTCTCTCTGAATGTACAGGCACAAGGGATCCGTGTGGGGACAAGCATGTCGGAGTTGGTACAAGAAGACCAGAGATCCATTCTCGAAGCCATTGTTGTGGTGCGGAATGGTAAGTCAAAAGACCTACACTTTCAAAGTCGACATGATGCTCTTGTCAAACTCGCAAAAGCAATGGGATTTGAACAAAACGTGATTCATCTAACATTTTCTGCTTTACAGTCGCCTTCGTATTACAAGACCATGAAGGACGTGAGATTCGAAGACTACGACTGGGAATACAAAAACCGAAACCGCTTTGCATACCTTGGAAACGGCAAAATTGAAGCTGATACCTACGAACCCAAGGAGAGGATGGAAGCCATCACCACGTACATTCGCAATGGGGATACACCATGGACGCTTGAGTAGGAGACTGGTCAGGTTGCAGAGAGCTTCCGGGAGAAAAAAAAAACATTTGGCAGTCATTCATACAGTGCCTTCAGAACAAGAATCAATCCTCTCCCGAGTTAACCCGCGTATTTGCACCATGTAAAATCCATTCGAGTCATTCTTTCTGTGTTTAGTCCTCCCCTTCAATCACTCTGAATCATTAGCATTCGGATAACCATGTCAGTATAGACATGTAGACAGTTTCCACCTTCTTCCTGTATAAGGCTAGACAAAGGACCCCCAGTCTCGTTAGGCAAAGATATCGCAACGCTCGGCGGGTTCGGCCTGGTGAGGAAAGGAGCGGGCAGCCGGTCGGCAGCCCACGCCTAAGACAACAAGATCCACAAGCGGACAGCTGCACTGGCTGGGACATTCGGAATCTCTTGCAGAGAAACGTTTCCCTTCTACACAAAAGAAGACGGTGTGGGACGGGTTGTATCTTGCGCAGCAAACATTCGACAACAATAATGGTGGTCTTCCGATCCCCTTCGTGGGTGCCTGGCTTGCCCTTTGAGATTCCGGACTCGATCCCAATCAGTGATTTCGTCCTAGACCCCAGGTATGGCCGGCTCAACGAGCAAATGTCTCACCCCGCATTCACGTGTGGTGTCACTGGGGAGACGTACACAGTCAATGAGACGCGGAAGAGGGTCGAGTATCTAGCAATGGGCCTGAGTAAAACGCTCGGGTGGCATCCAAATACGGGTTGTCAAGTGGACAAGGTGGCAGTCATCTATGCATCCAATTCAGTGTGTCCCCTCTATCTTCCGGATGAATACACATACGTCCTTCAGGATTGCTGATGGAGCAAAACGCAACAATGTCAGGTCGATTACATCCCGCTAACATGGGCGATACATCGTCTATCCGGGATCGTGTCAACGGCAAGCGCAGCCGCCACAGCAGAAGAACTCGCGTACCAACTTCGTGACAGCGGAGCAAGTGTCCTCTTCGCCAGTTGCGGTCTCCTTCAGACAGCAATCACCGCCGCTGAGACTGTCGGGATCCCTCAAAATAGGGTTTTTCTGGTCGAGAACGATCTGGACCAGGTATCGGCAGGACTCAAGATGACACAAAACAAGTTCCTGACCACCAAGTGCCTCATGGGAGTCGGAGCCACGATGGACCAAATGGACGACTTGAACTGGAAGAAGGGTGAAGCCAGAGAAAAGATCGCCTTTCTTTGCTATTCGAGTGGTACCTCTGGTCTTCCGGTCCGTATCTCTCCTTAACCCGGGACCCCCTCTGTCTTGGTCCGCCTATAACTCACCTCTCGGATATTTGACAGAAAGGTGTCATGATTTCTCATTACAATGTAATGGCGAATGTATTACAACTCGCCGTGTTCGAAAGGACACAGAGAACGGGAGAAACAGAGGTGTGCCTCGGTCTTCTACCCCAGAGCCACGTTTACGGGCTGATTGTCATCTGCCATGCGGCCGTATACCGAGGAGACGGAGTCGTGGTCCTGCCGAAATATGACTTCAAGCAACTTTTGGCCTCGATCGAGTGCTACTCGATCTCGGTCTTGTTTCTGGTGCGATGGCTCTTTTGCGTTCAAATGAAATTATATGAGCTGACATGCCGTCATTTTGGTCTCAAGGTGCCCACAATCCTCACCCAGATCGCGAAAAGTCCGTCTGAAGTGGCAAAGTACAATTTGAGCTCCGTGACCACCATAATGGTGGGCGCCGCCCCTTCTGGCCGAGAAATACTAGAGACGCTCAGTACCGTGTTCCCCGGAAGTGTCATCCGGCAAGGCTATGGTGGGTTGCCTTTCGGCTGGCTATATCTTAAACACCATTGCTGTTCTGCCCACGTTCCGAGTCAAAGTCTGCTGACGAAGCATCTTTTTCCCCGGTCATAGGTCTCACGGAAGCCGCAACGGTTGTCTCTTCCACCCCACGGCATGATGTGTGGTTGGGGTCTTCCGGGTCATTACTACCTGGGATAGAGTGCAAGATAATTGACGACGATGGCAAAGAGGTTGGCTACGACCAAAGTGGTGAGCTCCTCGTGCGGTCTCCATCGGTGGCTTTGGGCTATTGGAACAATGCCAGAGCCACGGCCGAGACCTTTCAAGGCGGATGGCTGAGAACGGGAGACGTGGCTCTGTTTCGACGCAGCCCCCCGGGTCATGACCACGTCTTTATCATCGATCGACTCAAAGAACTAATCAAAGTCAAAGTAAGCTGTTGTGATGCCCCAAGCTTGTTCATGCTGACAACAGAAATGTTGACATTTGAACTACGCAGGGCATGCAGGTGGCCCCGTCCGAGCTCGAGGCCCTTTTACTATCACATCCGGCCGTTGCTGAAGTTGCAGTCATTCCCCTTCCCGATGAGCGGTCGGGCGAAGTTCCCCGAGCTGTGGTAGTCAAGTCCTCGACATCCGACGTTTCAAACATGGACAATCATCAACTGGCCGATGAGCTTCAGCAGCTGGTTAGTAAAGAGAAGTCGCGGTACAAGTGGCTCACTGGTGGTGTGGTTTTTGTCACTTCCTTGCCCAAGAACAGCACTGGAAAACTATTGAGGCGCGTATTGAGAGATCGGTATAGAGTCAAAATGGCTACAAAGCTGTGAAAACTCCCGATTTCATTTTCGTTTTGGGGGAAGAGGGAAGAGCGAGAGAGAGAGAGAGAGCGAGAGAGAGAGAGAGAGGAAGAGAGACAGAGAGTCGTTCAAAAAGACGGATACATTTTTGGGGTACGATCATGGAAAATGTTCTCCCCCTCGCCGCTTGTCCACAGACTCGGCTCGGCAGGACTCTTGATCAGCAGGCTCAACCTTTGGCGAGAATAGCATCAGAGTGCGAGAGCGACGACGGTACAATCGTCGGGGAAAGAAATAGGAAAAGGTCACGCTGCTTTCGGCCGTCAAACAGATTCTGTTCCCCCTTTCCCAGTCCGTCACTATGTTTTGCCCAAAAATGTAAAAACAGGAAGCCCTTCGCAGAGAGAGATGCGACAAGACCGACAGCCAGAGATAGGTGGCTGAAGAATATATATATATATATATATACATTCCCCTTCCCCTCCCCTTGGTCGGTAGCGTTGCGTGTTTTAAAGCCTTACGAGTAACATATTAGCATGCATGTGTTTGCCAGTGCTAGAACCGTACTGGACTTTCTCCGAGCCACACCGACTCTCCACTCCTGCAAAAGTCTGTGGCCTGAGGTCCCACGTCGCTCAGATCGATCTTGTCTTCTTCTTCTTCTTCTCCTTGTGGCGGACTCGTGCAAGAAGTCTGCTCGCAGACGGGTGGTGACGAGGTAAAGGTAAACGTGATGAGACGGGAATACCGTTGTTCAGCCTGTACTAGCATGGCCTCCAGTGTGCTTCGCGCGTCCTGTATGCCTTGACAGACGTTTTCGACGATTTTGAGGGTCTGTAGGCACATCCTCATGTCTCTGATGCGGGCTGCAGATAACAAAAGGTGGTGCTGCCCATGCCGCGCAATGCCGAGAGTGTTGATTGCTTCAATCACACAGAGGTGACCTCCGAGCCCGACGACTTTGTCCACGTCGATGGAACTTACAATGTTCCATACATGAAGAATCATGTGTGAGTCCGATTCAAGGGATAAATAGTTGCATGATTGTCCCTCGGACAGGGGAGTGCCAGGTATGCTCAACATAGTTAGCCACCGGTGCAAAGCCATTGACGTGGCGAAATAGAACATAGAAAGCAGTCCGCCATGGATGATTCGTCTTTTCTGATACGGTTCCATCGGAATCTCGCCATCCATGTCGAGAAGGCTTAGGCGTAAAGGGTGTTCGAGGTTTTCCCACCATATTGTGAGACTTTGCTGGAGAGCCCTTACAGTCGCCTGGGGAACTAGGCGAGCTGTCAACAAGACACCAGGATGAGCAGGTTCAGTAAAAACGCTGACTGGGTAGTATAGATCGTCTAAAACGCGACCGATTTGCAAACAAAGTCTCGTTTGTTCAACAAAGGGCAGAGTAAACTGACACTCATCAGTCTCGAGTTTGGGATCTTTGTCCTGCCCTGGACTAAATGATTTCCGAAACGTTGACAATGCACCTGTGGGTACCAGATTATTTGCCGGGAGCGTTGGCGGATCAACATGGAAGTCGGCCCCTTTGATCAAAGGGGGCTGCATTGTTGAGATGGCCACGAATTTATCTCGGCAATACAGAGACCACCAGATGCGTCTCAAACGGTGATTTATGTCCGGGCGGTATTTGGCATATGTGTCCTCCTCAGAAAGCCCCATCAGCAGAGCTATTGAATGGGCGAGATTCAGATAGTAGCGGCTGTCTTTCAAGGGCCTTGACCAGTCTTGAGAGAAGGACATCAGGATTGTGGTCTGCAATAGGCAAAGGCGGTCGCACTCGTAGTTGAAATCGAACAACAGCTGGCTTGAGTGTGAGAAGACACCCCGGAAAATCAAGAGCAATCAATCAACGCACCTTGACACGTTCGAAGAAGACAGTCTGAGCCGTGAATCTATCTGCAAGCCCGAACAGCCGAAGTTTGCCTTCCTCGATGAATACTGAGCCAGCGTAAATAAGGGCTTGGAGGAGGAGTAAGCTTATCTTGGGATGGTCGGATAGCGCAAGGACAGAATTAACAACCCGAGTCTCAACGATCGGGCAGACCGGGTGGACCCATTCAACATAGGAAGATATCAGCTCCCTGAGCAGCGGCGGCGGAGGCATCCTGAAAGCACCCCTCGAAATCAAGTACTGGAACTCATCAGTCCATAGCCAGCCAGGTGCTGGCTGGACATAACCAGGGAGTTCAATCACGGAGCGGTCTCCTAAATTTCTGATCTCGTCCCCTGTTTCCAGTAATACACCAGGCCAGAGCTCACTCTGGTTCACGAGGTCGCTGGCCCCCAGGATCGGCCCTCGATCTGGTACACGCCGCGTTTTTTTCCGGAGCTGTGTCAGGGTCAGTAACGTAGGCTCGAGGTATCGAGGTCACATAGAGAGAAGAGGGGGGGCGCAGTCGACTCACGGAAGGTGCTATCTCACAGTTTATACCGTCCTGAAAGCAGTTGGTGCAAGGTGTTCCTCGTAGCGATACATCACAACGCACTTTTCGAGCCCGACAGACAACACAGGCTTTTTGAGCTCGCTTCCTGGGAGAGAATTTGTGCTTGAGAGAGGGCATCATTGCCTTTGCTGACTCTGGTCTAGTCCATTGCTCGGGAGTAAATGGAATCTGATGGAGGTATAAATATATCAGCTCCTTTTTGAACGGACGGCGTCGAGTCTCACTTCATCAAGGTGATGAAGGAAAGAAATGGATAGCCTCCCCGTGACAGAGGCGGGTATACATCTAGTGAAAGTCTGCCTAGGGTAACTGGACTATTATTTCCACTACGCTTGAATCTCGCGACGCGATTCAACCAGCGAGTGGGCGGGCAAGATAGTCAAGATTTCTTGCGAGCACCGGAAACAGGACCTTCCAAGTATAGGCCTGAGGTTGCTTGAGGCGTATCGGATTTGTCCTGCACCTACTCGGCCTACCTACTCGGCCTCTAAACAACCTGCAACAATAATGAAATCGGAGCGGGCGACCGAGGTTGGCTGTCAATCTTCTCCACTGCCCGCTTTCCTAGGCCAAGATATATCACATGCAAATTCTTGGCCGAATAATCTCCACTGCGGTACACAACAAAGTATCTTTGTGCTCAAGGCCATCAAGTCGGTAGCCGCTGGACTCTGTCTCACTGCATGGGTTTGCTGGTCAATATCAACTATCTCGCTGGTAAACAGGCGGCTGGTCTCTTCGAGTGCAGCAAAATTGATCAAGCTGATTTCGCAGCCGTTCATTCCAATACCTATTAACTGGTGACGCGGAATGTAGGTCAATGACAAATGGTATCATAACAAAGAGGTCAAGTCTGGCAGTAAGCCAGGTTGTGGGAAGGGGGGGTTGATGCTTTGAGGAACTATACCCTAGTTATTGCTACATATAGCACAGGTCGGCAGTCTGGAAATCGTCAGCCCCCTTGGGTGAGGGTCAAGGGCCGGGGGCTTTCCTTACTGTTGATGATCGGGGGATACTGCAAATTGAATGGTTCCGGTTGTTGCTATAGCAAAAGCCAACAGGGCTCTCATGGAGACGTTCCAAAAAAAAAAACAAAAAAAAAAACCTGTTAAGTCGTGGAAACAGGCACGATTGATTAGAATAGAGGTTTTGGCCTATTACGAGTTTTGAACGAGGGAGCTATGATGAATTCCAGAGATTAGGGAGTGTTTCAAGGATAAGGGGGTAAATGATTGGCCTAGGAACACCAACATGACAGGGCACCAGGGGAACATTGAAATATAGGGCGTCCTCGTGGTCCTTTGACTGAGCCAACCACCAACCTCGGATAGGCCCGTGTTAGCTCGACGAGAATCATTATCCAGTCAAAAGGTGTACAAGTAGATCTGCAGCAAGGTAGCCGGTCGCTTCCGGAGATTTGTGTTCTAGGATGCTGGATGCTACTACTGGAGGACGGTTCAACCGATGCTATATGGCTAGTCTTGCCACTTGACCACCATGTTCGCTTGAATGAGCCGAGCAGCATAACTCGTTGGCCAAATCAAATGCATGTATTGATTGACCTTCTGAATCTGCAGGATAAGATGGAGGTATGGATGGGGGTGCCCATGGAAAGTGATTGGGACGACCTGGTTCTATGTTTCAAATTCCACAACGCATCTGCCTCCTACATTACCAGTTCGCAGCCTCTGGACAGCCTCCGGCAGCCGAGAGATTGGAAATGTGGTAATAACAGATCGGATGAGGTTCTGTTTCTGTCAGTTGATGATCCGGGGAGAAAGAGAGAGAGACCAACTGACCCTGACAGCCAAATCAAGAACATCATGAGTGTCTTTCATCGACCCAGCCTGGGTGCCTGTGACACGTATATTCTTTCCAATGAACAGGGCCGGATCTCCACCAGCAACCGCCGTGCCGAATGGTGCTGAAAGATGTAGTTAGAGAATGGTTCACAGAAGCAAAGGACCGCGACCGCGAAGAAACACTTACGCAACCCGACACACATCAAAACGCCGCCAATTCGCAGCATTTCTATGCCCATGGTGTAGGCTTTCGGGCTCGTCGCCGTCACAAAGACTCCGTGTGCTCCTTTTCCATCGGTGAGTCTAACCACTTCCTCTGGGATATTCTGAACCTTCGAGAAGTCAACGAAGGCATGGCAGCCTAACTTCATGCACATTTTCTCTTTTTCTGGACCGCCATCAATGCCGATCACCCGGAGGCCCATGGCTTTGGCGATCTGAATACCAAGGTGACCCACGCCTCCGCCCGCACCTAAGATGCAGGCCCACTGCTGAGGTTTGAGTCCTGACTCCTGGATCTGATGTCCAGAGCTGCATCAGTCTGAGTAAATCATCCAAATGGGGGACGTGGACCTACACTCCGATACATGGTGGAACCCGCACACATGAGCGGCGCAGCCTCTGCGGACTTGAGCTCGGGAGGAATCCGGGTTGTGTACTTTGCAGGGGACAGGATATACTGCTGATATGTCCCTAGAGTACGGTCAACCCCTGGAGCGGTGAGAAATGGAATGCAGACGCTGGGCATAGTGGCGTCGTCCGACCGTGCGTACCAGTCTTCATGCATCCCGTATGAATTGCCTTGGGACAATAAGCCTCTCTCCCATCCCAGCACAACTCGCAATTCATGCACGCATCCCAAATTGGCTTGACTCCTCCTCTGTCCCCTATCTTCCAGTCCTTGACATTGCTCCCCAGGCTGACGACTGAGCCAATTCCTTCGTGTCCCGGGGACCTCAGACCGTAATCGGCCAACCTTGGGGTTGGCAGATCTTCCAGCATGTAGTGTATGTCGGAATAACAAATTCCCGAGGCGTCCAGCTTTAACAAGATCTCATCAGGGCCTGTAGATCCAACAAAACAGCTTGTCCTCAGCACTGTTTCACAATGTTATAGTGGCAAGGAGTCATACCTGGTCGGGGTACAGGGACATGATCGAGAATCAATCGAAAGGACTGGCCGGCATCTTCGACGCATCCCGCAATGCAGTTCTGGGGAATCTCAACGTCCGCCATTTCCTCCAGCGGTCAACGAGCAGTACCGTGTCAAACCATGAATAATACAAAGTACTTGAGATTTTCTCGTCGACTTTGCGCCTTCAATGCCTGAATAGTACAAGTATACCTAGAGCGTCCGAGACAAGCGTCCATAGCTAGCGAACGATAGTACTATTGTCCACCCCCACCCCCTTTCCCTGCTGTGTCCTGCCAAAATCCGTGCACGAGCTTCCCCCCTTATCAGAAGTGACGTTGGCTTCGAGAGGGCAGAGGCAATCCTCCGAGAGCCTTTTTTCTCCTAGCTTGCAGCTAGTGCTTTTCAGGTTTGGGGCCAAGTAGGTTGCCCCTTTGGCCGGACGGCTAGTATTGTGGGGGTGGGCAACCGAGGTCACCATGAACAGCAGGCTATGCGAACCGTGAATAGTGTTTACCGGTCGCCTGCAATACCGGTGAAAATACCTAAAAACAAAAAAGGGCGTTGGTCGAAGGAGTATTTGGGCCGAAGCAAGATTGCATGTCCATTTGTAAAGGCCCCTTGATCGGACGTCAAGGTACCAGGTTCTCAGGGCTGTGTGGCAGAAAACACACTGACCCGGCATTGGGAGACAAGACGTGTGACTGGAGACCTTGCCACTTGCCTCCCACCACCGACACCGTAGCGGAAAGTGCCAATGCCTTCTCCTTCCGGCCTGGGCGACCCACCCTACACCCCAAAGAGGAGGGGGACCAACATGGGGAACCCCAGCTCCCCAAGTTTTCGTCGATTTATTTTGTTGGCACTCCATCGACGACTTTATCTAAGCTCGATTAGAACTTGTGTCATTGCTCAAGAGATCAGACGGTATCAGTGGCCCTGCATATTGTGGAAAGAGCCTCAATCAACGCAAAGCGCTGCTGACCTGCACCCGAGCTAAAACCGCAACGGCGACGGCTACATGCTCTAGATCCCCTTGGGATGTCCTGGTTCTCTTGTCAACCACTGCCCTGACAACTGCCGTCACGCAGCCTATTTTCTGAAAGTGATATGTGCGCGACCATGGACATTGTCCAGCGGACTCAAATCCGGGAAGGCCTATCCAAGTCAATCACTTCGAGACGGCGGGTCGCAACGGCCCCCTATCGTCGCCTTCACTGTTCAGCGTGCCCTCGGACCTTTGTAAGACCTGATCATCTTCAACGTCATGAGAGGACACATACAAATCAGAAGCCATTTTCATGCCCGGAATGTCACCGCGCGTTTGCGCGCCGAGATATGGTGCTTCGCCATGCAGCACAGGTTCATCCCATGCCTACATCTGCGCACTCGGACATGCCGGACGATTGCTTTTCGTTTGAAGAATCGACAGCGTGGCTGGATTGTTTTGCACCACAAGAGAGGGAAGCCAGCCCGAGACAAGAGCCGAGCGGGACCACAGCGGCCCAAAGTTCACGAGATCCAGACATGCGCGAGACCCCGTCTGACGGTCACGGAGAAGACAGTTGCTCTCAAGCTGTTGACATATCTCCAGGCGGTGACGATACTCGACACAGCGCACTGCCACCAGATCCGTCTCCTACAACAAGCGAGCTACAACATACAGAACGCTGGCTGATAACCCCCTCACGGGACTACTGGGTTTCTAAAGATATCTCGGTCCAAAAGGCTGTAGATCGACTAATCACACCACCCAGGTCAAGTTCAGTAACGTCTACGTCTCCCGACCTCGCCGCCCTCGACCTCGAAATGGACCAGTCTGATATGACGACGCGGCTGCTATCAGGGATCCACTTTTTGCCAGCTTTCGACGGCCTTCTCTCAGCAATGTCCTTTGGGCCAACAGGATGCCGGCCATTTTCGCCGCCGTCGCCGTCGCCGATGGTGTCGTTGAGTTCCATGTTGAACAGGAGCAACATCGACGCTCTCTTCAATTCCTACAGACAGTATTTCAATCCCAATTTGCCGCTTTTGCATTTGCCAACACTCGATCTTGACTCAGCATCGATCGAAGTCCCTCTGTCTCCTACAATAGAGGAATGGCCGACATCTGCACTGCTGTCCGGTCGACGCCGCATGCAACGGCCGCTGCTGTTGTCGACGCTCGCATTGGGCGCCGCTTTTTGCGGCGAAGTCACCTTGGCTCGAGAGTTGTACCGGCAAACAAGCGCAGCACTTACATCCTCCTTGAAATCAGTCCGCAACCTGCCGGTGGAATCGGCTCCCATACAAATCATGCAAGCCCTCCTGCAACACCTTGTATGTGGGACTTTTTTTGGAGAGACAGCTTTGAATGAGACGACAAAGAGCGGCTGTGTCTCTTTGCTGGCGCTGATCAAAGGCGCGGGCATTGGCACGTCTTCACACGCCTTCCAACCTGTTGACTCGTCTCTCGAGATAGGGCAGCACGTCAAATGGCTGATATGGGTCCATCAGGAAGAGCAAAAACGCCTCTTTTTCTCGACCCTGTGGTTGGTCAGTGCCTTCAATATGTATTTCAATGGTATCTGTCGTCCATCCTTGGCCGATGTGGAAATCAGTCTCCCGTGCAAGGAGGCATTATGGGAAGCCCCTGATGCGCGATCCTGGGCCGAGCTCCAACCGAACTCGTCGACGACGCCGTCACTTGTCGACGAGTTCAAGGCTCTTTTCGACCTAAATACTCCATCGCACTCTACGAGTCTCGATGTTGACTTGGAGAACGAGACTAATTTTCACGAGCAAGCTCTCGAAATGCAACAGCAAGATACCGTCGCTGATAAGGGAATCGGAGAATTTGCCTGTTTGTTGCTGATATCGGTCCTGCATGTCTGCGTCCTTGCACGGACTCAAAATCAGCCGTCGCCGCTGGCAGATGACGTGATACCTAACGATGTCCCATCTCTCAAATCCGCAGTCAGACGGTGGCAGCGACTGTGGTTGAGTTTTCCTCGACAGCCTTCCTTCGGAACCAGATATCGCTTACTGATGAGCTGCCTTCCCATGCTCGATCACATCAATCTATCCTTTAAACTCGACGATCGGGCCATGAAAGAAGCTATCCATCGACGAGACCTGACCTCAGTGAAGCTCGTGCCCTTGTCGGATAGCCCGGGCCACACCGCCCGGACTGCCGGAACGTCAGTAGACCACGAACAGTACCTCTGGAATGCATCAGAGACATTGGAGCAGGAGATTTTGTGGCATGAGATAACCTTATATGCCAGCCATGCGTTGGAAGCCACATTTCGACTTGCACCCTGGTGGACATCTCCTTCAGAAGCTTCTCATATGCCCCTCCATTCGGCGATGAATGTATTCCACTGTTTACAAGTTTTCGCCTCGTGGGCATCAGGGTTCCAAAGAGAAACACAAGCATATGACTCTTTCCGCCAAGGTGACCTGTGGTCCGAAGAATTTTGGACCATCATCCAAGCTTGCCGTCGTTTGATTCGCAAGTGTCGGAGTAATATGGGCTTGACTGGATCTTGTGCGGCCATCGAAGCCCCGGTCAAAGGTTTTCGAGGTGCCGCCGAAATAGTCTTGACGCTGCTGCAAGTATATTCCCGCCTCCTGTCGGAGTATTCATCGGTGTGGCCAGGTATGTTTTTCCTTGGCCCCTTCCATGCCCTGTTCTACTTTTTTATCCTTTTTCTCCTTTCCCTTTTGGCTTTTCTCTGACCTGGGCTCTTTCTCTTCAGTCCTGAACAACTTGTCGGAATGCCTGCAATATCGAGTGGCAGTCATGAGTAAACAGATCGAGGATATGGCATCTGGGCAACAATCGACCTTCCCATAACATTGTATGTCGAGTCACTCGACTCAAGGGCTAGGAGAGATGAGTTGAGAATGAAGTGCTGCCATGGACTGTATAATGCGCAACCACACATGGAGAAGGTAAAAGTACATTACCAAATGTTGCAGGAGAAAGAGTTGTACCATCTATAATAGGCGTCGTGGCAAAATACATAGCCCGAACATGAAGTGATTTGGTCTACAGTTTTGACCAAGGCTAGGTCAGTATGTTCTCTACTTTAGACCATCGGCCTCGAACATCACATTAGTTTGGCAATGCACATTCCCAACGCTCGACCATAGGGAAAAGGAGTCTATTGGATGGTGTGGACTTGGCCACAGACTTTCCTAGGCTGTCTCAAGAAGAGGCGGGCAACCTCGGCCCCTGTTGGATGGGAAGCTGTGGGCTCAGAGCGACCTTTGTCGTTTGCCCTCTTGACAAGCTTAGGAGAAGTGCCGTGACTAGAATCTGGTGGCGCATTCCTGCTCAGATCAGTCATAAACACAGTCCCGAGACTCCAAGGGTGATTTGATCATTCACGTGCTAAACAGGTTCATGAAAGGAGGAGTTGCAGGAAATCCAGAATATCGACACATTGCAAGGTCCTCGACAGAATGCTGCTCTCTACACTGAATCTGGTCTATCAAATACCTTTTCTAGGTGAACATACCACACTACCACACTATTCTCAAGCCAAATCTGCCCTAGAAAGATCTCCATTTGGCTTTTTTTGTCCCCGCCTCTAAAGGAGTCCTTTTGAGGGCGTTATTCTGACTTTTATATCCCGAATCTTCAGCCTTGCATAGCGTCTACGCCGCGTTGGCGACATGCTTTCGAGACCCGACGAAAACCAGATCCTGGAGCCACGAATACCGCAACCGCCGCCTGCATACAATGATGAGCATCTTTAATGTTGAACAACTCCCGTGAGTTTGCTGGCCGTCTATCTTCGTCCTCCGTCTGAGCTCCAACGTGTGCGCTAACATGGTCAACACCGTCCATTGCCTAGGTCCTTCTTTCCAGGCACATCGGATACTGTCCGCGCATACTGCAGGGAACATGACATTTCGCTGCATGAAGACTCCGTTCCCGGAAGCGCTGGGGCCAAAATTCATTGGTTACGGAGAAAGGCATCAACATCATCTTCGACAACATCAGCAACAACAACAAAAGTCATCTTATATTTTCACGGTTCGTTTGGCCGAAAGCAACCAAGCTCCTCCTAGCAGCCTACAGCACCTCGTTACACCAACCCCTTTTTTTGACAGGACGGCAGCTAACCATTCAGTTGTTTAACCATGACACAGGAGGCGGGTTCGCTTTAGCTCCTAATGCCGGCCATCTGGGATTTGTGCTTGACTGCTCCAAAGTGCTGCAGGACAAGGGCGAGAGCGTTCTCGTAGCCTTTGTCGAGTATGGTGAGTATAGTGTCCATGCCCAGGATGTCGCTTCTTCTTTTCCCCCAAAGAGATTGAGCTAATGGAAACTTTCAAAACACCAGGGTTGACTCCGAAGACTGTCTATCCGACCCAGTACATCCAGGGCATCGAGGCTTTGAAGTACGTGCTCCATCTTGGCCATAAGCCTTCGAATGTAAGTTTGTCCAGCTCCTCTATTACCCGGTCTGGAGCACCATGGTTTCTCTCTCACAATTGTTTTTGGGCGAGCAAACAGGAAATAATATTCCTCTGACTTTGTGGTGTCTAATCTGGTAGATCATCCTCGGTGGCGACTCGGCCGGAGGCAACATATGTCTGGCCATCATCTCCCAAGCTCTGCACCCATCCAGCACGCTGCCACAGCTCGACTTGCCCTCGCCCTTGGCGGGCGTCTTCTTGATCTGCCCTTGGTCCAGCTTCCAGTCGTCGTCACGCTCTTACCGCGAGAATGCGGGAACTGACGTCGTCCTCGCATCACAGATGCACCAATGGGCCAAGTTATTCCTACCGCAGGCCGGCTTGGACAGCGCTATCGTACATCGCAGCTTGGTTGAACCCGTAACCGCCGATGCCGAGTGGTGGAAAAACTTCTCAGCACAGCAGGTCTTGATCGTGGGCGGAGACAAGGAGGTCTTTCGAGACGACCTCATCGAACTGGGGAAACAGCTGGCCGACGCCTCCGTCCCGGCCACCACGGTCATCTGTGAGAAGCAGATCCATATCGAGTGCATTCTGGACAGCCAATACGGCTTTACGGCGGGCAAGATGTCCACTACCATCTGGGACTGGTTGGCACGTCTGGGCCCGTGAGAATAATCAATGTTTTAATTATCAAGGGGGCTCGCCATCCCACCCCAGGGGGGTTTTCTATTTGTTCTGCAAAACGGACACATCATTCAAAAAATGGCTGAAACCGAAACCCTGAGCAAAGAGGTTCGCCCCGTCTACAACTAGCAAACTTGGGTTGCAGGATCATGTTCGTAGTTGGCAATGTCGCCTGCAACCACGCAGACAGTTTCGCCGACGAATACGATTGCTCATCAGGGAAAGCTTTGTCTCTTTCCTCTCCCCACAGGAAGTGGGAGGGAACACCGGCTCCGCGATGTGGCGAGGGCTTTGTGCAATTCTCATGTGGTGAAAGAGTTCCTTAAGGAAGGGTAAAAGAGGGAGGGAGGTGGGGGGCCATATCGTGTTACCCGGCCATGCCTACATAAGCGCTCACGTTCCCACTCCTGCTCCATTCAAGGGCATAGGTATAGGAGATTATGTTGATCTCGGCGCAAATACAGACAGACAGAAAGGAAGGCGGTTCTCACAGGGCCTTTTTTTCAACAGTCCCAGATGACTCTTTTTGACTATAAATTCGACTCCCTCTTGACCATAATATTCAATTTGGCTTGACCAGCCATCGTGCCACTCTTATTAAGCGCCTGCAGATTCTTCTTGAAGCTCAAGAAAGGGCCATCGTCGTGGTCTCTGATGTAATATGCAAAGTCGGCCGTGTCGTCCACCTCGGTCTGAGAGAAACCATTGCCGAGAAAGGCGAAGCGGTTCCCCTTGTATTCAATCTCCCAGTCGTCACCTCGCACATCAGACACCGCCTCGAGGTAGTGCAATGTACTGCCGGGCCACAGGGCGGCGATCTTGCCCGAAGCCGAGTTGTTCTTGTACCACGAGCGGCACTCTTCATGCCACACCGTTTTCGACATGAACGAGTCTTTGTACGCAATGAAATCCTTGACCGCCTCGAGTTTGGGTGACATGGAGTGGATGTTTTCCGTCTGCCAGCGGTTGATGAGTTTCAAGATATAATCGGCTTGCGCCTCTGTAAACCGGTCAGTCGGATTCAATCAAGCCAACAGAGGAACACCATATTCAAAATCGCAGTTGAAATTCTTATCCGCCGCCCCACAAATGGTGAGATCGACGGCGGGAAAAAAGAAATGAAATAAAGGGCAGAAAACATTCAACCAGGCACACAAGAGATATCTGACGAGAATCTTACCAATCGCCGTCAAGACCGGCCCATTCCCAATAGGACAGTTGGGGCCCAGAAACATGAAATAGTTTGGAAACCCTGGGGCGGCAATGCCGAGATAAGAAGCAGGCTCTTCTGCCCACTCATCCTGCAGGTTCTTGCCCTTGGTCCCGAGGACAGGAAAGCGAGATTTGAAGGACGTGTCGAACCCGGTGGCACAGATCAAGATATCCACGGAATGCTCTCGACCGTCGTCGCAAACACAACCTGCGGGCGTGATTTTGAGGATTTCTCCGTATATGACCTCGACGTTGTCCGCCTTCAGAGACTCCAAATAGCCAATGCCGGGGGTCAGTCTCCTGCAGCCCACCGACCACTTCGGGATCAGCTTGTCCTCGAGGACGGGATCGTGAAGCTTCTCCGACATCTGCTTTTGCATGTGCTGGCGGGTATCCCGCTGGACCTGCGTGTTTTGAAGGAAGATGGCAAATTGGCTGTTCAGCGCGGATTCGATGCCTTTGCGATATTCGAGGAGTTTTCCCTTGTCCCTTACGAAGCTTTCTCGCTCCTCACGACTGTATGTTCGACCCTCGAGGCCTTGTACTGGCGAGACCCAAGTTGGCTCACGGATGAAGGTCGTGACCTTCTTAGCAATCGGGCGAATAGCTGGGAGAATTTGAATCCCGGAAGACCTAAAGTATAGGGACTGAACTCAGCATCAAGACCAGGGGAAGTCAGAGAGAGCTAGATCACAGGGTATATTGCCTTACCCGTTTCCGATCAGGCCGACAGTTTTACCTTCGAGAACCGTCTTGTCATCCCAATTTGCACTGTGCAGTAATGGACCTTTGAAAGATTGGAGACCAGGAATCCGCGGCCACTGCCAGGCGTTGAGGATCCCGCCGGCATTAATGAAGATATCGCAGCGGTCTGGAAAGGTTTTGCCAGAGAGCAGGTCCTGGACCGTGACATCCCAAGTGCCTTCTTTCTCGTCCCATCTCGCCCCGGTAACCTGGTGTTTCACTCTCACGTAGCGTCGTAGCTTGTACTTGTCGCTGAAGTCGTTGAAATACTGGTATATCTCTCGACTTCCGGCATAGACGGCAGACCAGTCGTGTTTGGGTTCAAAGGACCAGGTGTAGGTATGTGCCGGGATGTCGCATGCACAGCTGTGACAAACGTGACAGTATTAGACACTCATACACTGGTCATGAATAGATTGGGGGGAGTTTAGTAGTGACCAGGGGAGACGAAGAGAAACCCCTCGTCACTCACCCGGGATATCTGTTCTCGAACCATGTGCCCCCGAGCTCGCCATTCTTCTCGTACAGTACCAGCGAAAAATCGTCAAACGACCTCTGGAGCTTATATGCAAACAACAGGCCAGACGCTCCAGCTCCCACGCAGATTACGCGCAGGTGTCGTTGAGATTTGATCGGTTTGGAGCCCCCAGGCTGAGTCCCCGAGGATCTCAAGTCGGGTAAAATAGTATCGGCCATTCTATCGACGACAGCACGTTTTTGATCGGAGAAGAATAAAACAGAGGGGAAGGGCCAACAGAGAGTCGGCCAGAGCAAACAATAACCACCACCACCGTGCGCGGGAGGTCCAGGTGCTCAATATTATTCCCCTTCGGTTGGTGAAAATTCCCGACGCTGTACATCTGCCGGAAGTTCGACCTTCGTCGCTCTTATTAGTACCATCGTGGCTCTTGACTTCTTGGGCAAACGACCGAACAGAAGATCAGCAGAGCAAGTCAGTGCCACCAGACCTACGCAGGTGGTTTGATGGCAGCCGAGGCCGTTTCAGCATCCACCCATCCAACCCGGATGCCCGCTTTTGCCTCCTCTGCGCTCGAACGCCCGCCCCCACGTCCTGCATCAGCCCACTACGGGAGATCAAATATGATCTGCACTGGGCTCCCAAAACGTTTCCAAATAGATGCATCTCAGTGTTCTCTCTCTCTCTCTCGCTCGCTCGGGACGGATGGGAAGGTTGGAACGAGAAGGATGGACCGAGGCCAAGTAAGACCACTTGCGTGTCACGTCAGGAGAGAGTCTCAGTCTACTTGTAGAGATGAGTATTAGTATATTCTTAATAGTACGTTTCAACATCACATTACTAGTATATACGAATCATCTTGCGCCAGTATCGATACATTCTTACTTTGGCTAGGACTTGGTACCAAGTTTATCTAGCCCAGAACGACTCGGTAGACTCGCTCTAGGTACTACAGATCAAGTAGCTCCCTGGATGCATGTGCTAACAGCCTTGTACGCAGAAAATCAGTCCAGAAGGACTGCTATGAATGGAGGTTCTGGGGACTAGAGATGACAATCCTCGTTCACATGCACTGTCTGCGATCCAAAGCACCAAAGGCATAGCAGCCTGGTTTTCTTCCTCGTTGATGATTCCCCTCCCAATCCTTGCTTGGATGAGCAATTTTATCCCTAGTGTCGGGCTTCGTCATATCGTTCCAGCTTTCGCTACCGTCCTTGAAACCCCTCTGTGACAATGCTCTTGAACCCCCCCCCCCCCCCTCACCGGGGGAAATTTGACGGGCTGCGAGCGTCCTCACGTCTTGCCCGCGAAATGGGTATCTGGATGTGCCATCAATACTTTTACCAGGTTCTGCATCCCAGGCATATCCCCGTCTTTGGTAGCTTGTGCCAAACTTCTCACATCACTATGGGCATTTTTGAATTCCTTCTCGATCACGCGAGCATGCTGCTCGCTTCGACAAGAGATAGAGGCCTCGAATGGCAACGGTTTGGCGAAGACGCCTCCTGTGTGAATCTCAGCAAGAGGTGACGGGTGTCGAGGTTGGTCGCGCCATGAGAGGGAGCGACACTTGTAAGACGGAAGGGGATGCAATGCTTACCGCTATATCCCAGAGTGTCGATAGGAATCAGTTTCCCATCTTCATCACACTTCTGGCTGACATTGAAACCCCACAACAATCGAGATGCAAGCAGGAACAGGCTGGGCTCCGCCATATTCAGACCCGCACAGATGCGGCGTCCGACACCATAGGCGAAATGATCACGTTGCTCTGCGTCATCCATATTCGCATACTCCTGAGCACTGAGCTTGTAATCGATGTAGCGCATGGGCTCAAAGACTTCTGGGTCTTTGTACCGTTTCTCATCTTGATGGATGGAATAGGCATTCGCTATGATGGTGGTATGAGCAGGAATGTGATATGATCCGTACCAGTCTTCCTTGCTTGTCGCATGGTAGAAACCTGCAAGCGGATGCTTTGTCAGAATTCCCAAACGCGACACACCAATGACTGAAAGCACCATTTTCCAATAAACCACGTACCTTGATTCGAAAAGGGTCGCCAGCGGAGGGTTTCCTTGATGACAGCCCGGATGTAAGACAAGTTGTGCTCATCATCCTTGACTGGAATTCGGTCTTTGCCCACCACCGAGTCGAGTTCCTCCTGGGCCTTCTTAACCACATGTGGGTGTAAAGCCAATGCCATGATCAGATAATTTTGGATCGAGCTGGTGGTGCCGGCGCCAGCCAGCATCAGACCGAGCGTGACAAGGGCCGCCTCGTCTTCGTTGAACCCTTCTGATGGGTACTGCTTGATAAAATCGGTTGCGAAGCATGGCACAGCTTTGCCTTGGTCTACGGCCTTCTTTGCAGGATCCCACCATGCACGTGCAATTGAGTCGAGCATTTTCGCATTGTCATCATAGGTTTTTCTCCACCATGCCAGAGATCGTGGGATCTGCTGCAGAATTGGCCATCTATCGTCGACAAATTTTCCGGGATGAAGATTGCTTTCCAGCCATGACCCGGTCAGAAGCAATCCCAGCGCAGAAGGATCAGTGATATCATCCGCACGGAAGCTGAAACATGAGCACCGTGTCTGTCAGCCGAGCTATCCGTCAAACATAAGATCTTCCAAGGACGACATACCCATAGACTGCTGTAGTGAGAATGCTGGCCCCAAACCGCTCTGTGTGCAGGTAAAATTGTTCCGGAGATTTCAGCAAGTCATGGAGATACTGTTTGGTTTCATAGTCTTGAAAAGGAAGAAACTTTTTGGCAGCAGCGGCGCCTGAGACCGAATTGAAAATCTTTCTCTGCTTTTTCCACATCTAGACATTCAATGAGTTTGTTGCTTGTTCCAAGGCAGGATGGGCGCACTCACATTGTTGTAACCAGTGCTGACGATGGATATACCGCGAAAGATGCAGTCGTGGAACGCATACATTTTTGGCCGGTCATTGTAGATATTTCCGCGCTGCATTTCAATCAGTACTGCATCGATCTCCAGGCGCCGCCCAAGGGGGTCTTTGCTTCATTCCTACCTTGTAGCACAAGTCTCGTACGACTCGCGGAGAGTTTAACACAATCTGCAGGTTTGGGCCCTGCCAGACACTGATTATCTGACCATATTCCTCAGAAAGCTTTTTGAAAAATATGTGGCATTTGTCTTTTGGGTAGCCTGGTGTTCCGGTGAAGATACTACTGGGTGGTCCTGGAGGCTAGGGCTTTTCTCAGCAGGGCATACTCTCAACAAATAGCACCTTGTTTCACTCACTAGGTAGCGTAGGTTTCTGTATTTCCCGATGAGAAAGTATCTTTGGATAAACCACTGGAGGAAATATACAAGACCGAGAGTAGGAGGAAGGACAAAGAGAGCCACCAGGTGATCTCTAGAAGACAATAGCTCCCCAAGAGAGTGAGTGATGGCCATGATCCCTATTCACTTGTAGGGACGAATATGTATTCGCTACAAGTGTAGAAGGCTTGTCCATTAGAGGAGGATGACAGGGAATATGTCCTCTTTTTGACCAACCCAACAGCTCCATCACTGTTGCGTCACTTGATCTTCTATCCTTCTATCCAGGCATACCTGGCACGACATGGCCCTCCGTCGGACGTCAAGAGATGGTTGCCCGCCCCCGCCCCCGACTTAGATTGTGGACGACGGCCTAGCTTGCACCGAGAACCGGGGCGCGGGGAATGCGGATGTCTCTTCTTGTGCCGAAGGTTGGTAAATCTACTAACCCAGCGGAGGCAATTTTCAGACCAAACGACGATGGGAGCATTACCCAAGTTCAAAAAGGTCTTAAAAAGTCCTCGCTTTCCCTCTCAACAGGATCCAGATCAGCATACCAATAGGGGCCGATTCACAACCGGCTACTTCTATCCTTGAATTGTCGACAAAAAGATTCTGGCAGGTGCGTGCACAGTAGAATGGCTAAGGCGGATATCGAAATTCTCCCAGAGAGCATTCGAAGCTTCAAAGGACAGGTTGTATTGATCACAGGTAATGTTCGCATTTTTCTGCCCCTTCGAGAAAGGATAGGGCCGGGGTTTGGTTTGCTGACATCTCAGGATGAGTATAGGAGGCTCGTCGGGAATAGGATTGGCCACGGCAAAGCTCTTCTTGTCCAAAGGGGCGAAAGTTGTCAATCTTGATCGGACAATTCCCGCTTCTTTCCAACATGCCGATTTTGAAACAATCATCTCGGACGTCACCAGCTGGACGTCACAATTGAACGCATTCAAGCAGACGATTAGCGCTCACGGTGGCATTGATGTTGTCTACGCCAATGCTGGCGTCGCCGAAGGCGAGATGGCTTTGCAGGACAAGGTTGATAGCGTCTCAGGCGATCCCATCGAGCCAACCTGGAGCACAGTCAAGATCAATCTCATCGGACAGCTGATCACACTGAAGCTGGCCATCCACTACCTCAAAGCTAACCCAAACGGAGGCAGCATCATCCTCTGTGCGTCGAGAGGAGGTCTGTTTTTCTGCCCACGGCGGTGGACATTGGCCAGTCGCTGACAATTCTCTCCAGGTTATGCAGGCTATGCGATGCCCGTGTACACCGCCACCAAACACGGTGTAAGTAATGCACGTCTCCGTCTCTTAGTGCCGTTAGAAAGTCTGTCGGAACAAGGTGAACGGAAATGCATTACCAAACAACAGCATGCTGACCTATGAGCGAATAACAGACCATTGGGCTTTTACGAGGCACATGGCGACACGTTTTGCAGTGGGGGATCACTGTCAATGCCATTGCTCCATCCTTTACACTCACGGGCTTGACCACAGAGTCGCAGAGGCTGTTTGAGGAGGCCAATGTCCCATTGCAGACTGGAGACGATGTTGCACCTGCTGTGCTCTACCTCACGCAGGACAAAAGCCTGGCGGGCCGTTGTATTTCCATCTCTCAGGGCAAGTTCCGTGAGCTTGAAGGAGTTATTGACGGGTTACGATCAGAGATATATGGAGTCGATGACTTTGAACCCAAAACCGACAGAGAAGTCGCTGCGGTGCTGTCAACCCAAACCACACTGTGGTGATGGCAAAGCATAGGCTGTTTCCGAGGCTCTAGCATCAACTCAATGATGCCTCTGCAATCAAAGTTTGATGATAGTTTGTAAGACGGTGAATTTGGAATGCGTCCAGCCGCTCGTTTCGGTCCTCATACTGCAACTCTCGACTGCCTTCAGTTCGTTACTCGAGGGAGGATATTCCGCTCGTCAGCATGTCTCTCAGCATGTGTTACAACTCCTGATGCGGGGACTTCCAGTCTCAACACGTCCAGCTGCGGTTCTCATTCTCGTCTGGGAAGACGGATAGGCCAGACCGGGAATGGTTCCTTTCCTACAAGATTCTCTGGAGCCAAGGCCGTAGTCCTGGAGACGATGACAATCATTTTATGAATGCGCTCGTTATCAGTCAGTCAGCGTCGGCCACTTTCCGGTGTAATTGCCACCAGCCGCCTGTGGTTCTGCGGTTCTGCGGTTCTTTTGCTGGCCACAGCGAACGCCGTTGGAACGCCGAAGTCCCACCCCACAACGTGTGTATCCAGAATGCTACGGCGACGATTAAGCGCGGAGATCCTAGTCCTAAGTAGACACTGACTAACGCTCTTCCACGCCCAGAGATTGTTCACTGGATATGGCAGGCTTCCTATTCGCTGAGGCCGCCTCCGCCAATATCTCAGTGCCTCTGCATTGATTGATGGCCATCCCCGTCGCGCTCACCTGCGAGAGATAAAGGTTCATAATGCCAGGCTAAGAGAGTGGGTGTCGTCGCCTTGTCGCCAGCATTCACGGTCGACCTTCAAATACTTACTCCTTCTACCATGACGACCATTGTGCCAGCCCCGAAAGATTATCCCAAGGAAATCATTGGCTATGCGCAACCTTGGATCGTGAGCCCAGGGGATAACGTCGACATCAAGGTCTCTTGTACCGAAGCCAGGTACAATTACCGCACCGTCCGCGTCATCCAGGGCCACGAGGGAGAGAAAAGCCCGCGGCACAAGGAAGAGGAAATCACAGAGATCCCCCGCGGTTCTCGCGATGGTCGATACCAAGTGGCTCACATCGGCTCGTATGGCAAAGTCAAGGATATGGGCCTGACTGCAGGAGACGACGGGCTGAAGATCTCCGTCTACGTGCAACCATGGCTGATCCCGTGCAACCACATCCAGGCGATCGTCTCTACTTTGGACGTCTCGAGCAAGACCGGAATTGACGTGGTCCTCGATCAGCAAGGGCAGGTTGAGTTTTGGGTCGGATGTGGCGCGGACGTCCAAGTTGTTCGTTCCGGCTTCACGCCCGTCAAGCGGAGGTGGTTCAAACTCGACCTGACCGTTCGTGGAACGCAATTGGAGGCGGTCCTGACACCGAAATCTCGCATTACCGAGCCGGCAGCAAAGCAGAGTGTGTTCACCGCGGATTTGAAAAGCCCATTCAAGGTCGCCGCGTGTACGCCATTGCTCGTGGCGGCCAACCAACAGGCATCTCCCCAAGACAGCTCGCAGACGGCCGTTCCGACAAACAAGTACAACGGCCGACTCGACTCACTTGAGCTGAGAGCAACTGGGGCGTGCGAGCGTGTCCTTGCCAAGTATGATTTCGTCATCGAAATCTCGAGTGATCGTTTCTTCGACGTGTCTCAAAATAAGCGACATGGTGATTTGGTCAACGCGCCCACCCGAGCGGTGAAGGGACACGACTGGGATGGATCGGAAACGGACTGGACAAAGGCAAAGTATGGGTACGGAGCCATTCATTTCCACGAAGACGACTTGGACGATGCCGAGTGGGACACGGATTTCACGATTCAAATCCCCAAGGACGCCAGATCGGGCGTGTACAGTGTCGTGATCCGCGGCGCTGACGATGATGTTGGTGAGAACGTGGTCTTTTACGTGAGACCGACTCCAGAAACCACGGCCAAGGTGAGATCCCGGCTCTAAAGAATGCTGCAAGACGTGGGAACACCGAGGTCACTAACGAGATTCTCATAGGTAGGGGCTAAGGTCGCCATAGTCATGTCCACGTTTACATATCTCGCCTACGCCAACGACCACATGTTTGACCCCGACACACCCGCTCGTGCCGAAATCCCTGCTGGTCTCGATAACCTGGAATTCTACAAAGACGAGACGTTCTACAAGCAAGATCGACGGAGAGACCTCGGTCTTTCCCAATACGACGTCCACAAGGACCACAGCGGCGTCGTCTTCTCTTCCGCCAAACGTCCATTGCTCAACAACCGGCCCGACTATATCAACTGGTCAGGCCACCGTCCTCGCGAGCTCAGTGCCGAGTTGATCATGGTCGGATTCCTCGACCAGTCGGGGGTGCCATACGATGTGGTTACTGACCACGACCTTCACACCTACGGCGCCTCCATGCTCGCGCCCTACACGACGGTCATTACTGGGTGCCACCCGGAATATCCCACTCTGCAGTCGTACGCGGCATACGAAGGGTTTGTACAGCAAGGAGGAAACATGATGTATCTCGGTGGAAATGGCTTCTACTGGGTGTCGGTGACGGATCCACAACGACCGTGGCGGTCAGAGGTCCGCCGTGGAGGCCAGGGAGTGCGCACATCGTGGCAGGAGCCTGGCGAGCGGCATCACTCTCTCAACGGCCAGCAAGGGGGTCTCTGGCGAGATTATGGCAAGGCGGCGAATTACTTGGTGGGTATCGGATGCTGTGGAGAGGGACATGGCGCAGGTAGGTGCTATCTCTTCAACTTTCCCTCTTTTCTTCAATGGTCTACCTAACACGAAGCCCTAGGTGTCGCATATCGTCAGACCGAGGATCTTCGCAAATCCCACCCCGAACTGGCCTCGTGGCTGTTCCGTGACATCCCCGAGAACCAACTCATCGGCGAGAATTCTCTGGGCGAGTACGGCGGCGGCGCCAGTGCCGACGAGATTGACCGCGTCGACTTTGCCTATGGCAGTCCCGCCAACGTGGTCGTTGTCGCGTCCAGCGTCGGCCACTCTGACGATTTTGGCCTCTTCCCAGAAGACGTCAGCTTCCCCATCCAGGGCACGCTGGGGACGCAAACCAACCTGATCCGCTCGGACATGACATACTACGAGACGAGTGGTGGAGGAGCAGTCTTTTCCGTGGGCAGCATCAGCTGGTACTGCGGACTGGGATACAACGGGTACGACAACACGGCCGCGCTGGTGACGAGGAATGTGTTGCTGGAATTTGCAAAAGGGCCCAAAGGAACTACTGTCCAGCAGTAGAAAAGAAGTGACAGGGCTTGAGAGGTGAATAACTCGGTACAGCTTTCTCATTCCTGTGTCATGATTTGTCTATAGAGCTTCCCACCCTCTGGGTTGTGTACCTAGAAGCCAATTGTGCTCTCTCAAATTCGTATTATATTCATTTGATGCCTATGACAATGTCTATTCATTCCAACCACATCCTGCGCTCCATACTAACTAGGTGTACTTGTTCTTTTTGTGCGCGACGCGCTCGGCCTCGGGGTCGATCGTACTACGGGGGTCCTTGAACTCGAGCCATCCGAGCATGGGCTGGCGGGGGGTTAGCAGGAGGAAATGGAATCAAGGGAAAACTGGAGGGGAAAAAAGGAGCTCACATCACTCAGGGCGTAGCCCATGATCTTCTGGATCCTGACGGGAAGGGTTCTGGCAATCTCGGGCGGCACCGCGAGGTACTGGTTCTCCTCCTGGCGCAGCCACCCGCGGGTCATGAAGCAGCTGAACAGCAACCGTTCCTCGTCGGCGGTGGTGTTGGCGCTGCCGCCGTGGTAGCAGCTCGAGAGCATGATGAAGCCGTCGCCGGGGTTGAGTTCGGCGTAGTGGGCGAAGCGTTCGTCAGGTGGGTGTTCGGTCGCCTCGAGGTGGCTGGCCGGGATGAACCTCGTGGCACCGTTGGCCTTGGACGTCTTTGTGCCGGCCACGAAGAAGCCAATCCCGTACTCGCGCGAATTGGTGCGCGGGTACACGTCGACCCGCGGCCGGTCGGCGTAGTGGATGTCGTCGTCGCGGTGCAGCGGTTGGTCGTAGCTGTTGCCCGGCCGCACGGAAAAGGCGATCGTGTTGTTGAGCTGCGGTGGCGACACGTTGAGCGTGTCGCGGTCTCCGTACCACGGGTAGCTCTTGGTGGTGAGGAAGCGCTCGCACACGGCCTGATAGAGGTCGTTGCCGACCAGGTCGACGGCGAAGGTGCGAGATTTGGCGCACAGTCCAAATGCCCGCCGCGTCGACGGTGGGAAGAAGTTGTTGCCGGCCTCCCAGGGCACGTCAGCCTCAAGATACGGCCGCACATCCCGTTCAATCTGCGCAAGCGACTCTGGCGACAGGATTCTCCGCACTACGACGCCGCCCACGGCCCTCAGTCCTTCGACCACGTCGTCCACCTGCGCATTGGCTGCGTCGAATTCAGGGACCGCGACTTGTTTGCGGGCCGGCCAGGCCTTTAGATCGCTCCCAGCCAACATGCGCTCGTACGAGATGAAAGCATCCTCATGGCGCACCGTCGGAGGCGCAAACGACGACTTCGTCCCGTAAGAAGGAGCAGCCGCCGGCGGTGCGGTCTTCTCCAACACGGCCACCTGTGTGATCTCTTCCGTCCCGAGGCTACCCATGATGTGAGATAATCAGCAAATACTGGCCAGATAAGAGAGAAGCACTCGGGTTGTGTATCAACAACTATCAGTGCGACTAAACGCTTTTCCTTTTTATCTCACCAGCGATAACGCGGATGATGCCAAAAAGGGAGTCAGCAAGTTGCCCGTCGGCATGAGGAAGCAAAAGACCAAATCACCAAGGCAGATCATGTCTCTTTCATTGGTGGCACGCAGTATGTTCCTGCAGCAACGAACACGTCCAGCGACATGTGCCACGTCTGCCACGTCTATCAGTCTGCCATGTATCAGGCTCGCTGAGTTGCTGGGATCTTGCTGGACAGTGGCAATTTTGTCCCGTCCCGAGACCGCTCCCTGGCCAATTCGCCGTCGAAACGCCCTTCAAACACCGAGGAAGATCGACTTCCCCACGACCCAAAAAGTCGCTAGTGGTGTTATAGAGACTGTTTCTTGCCACCTTTGGTCATCATCTATTCCCGTTTCATCATTGGATTCTCTCATCTTCGACCCTAAGTACCATGTTGGCCATGCTCCCCACCCGAACGTGGCGCCTCCGCTCAGTCGCCGACCCAGAGGCCGCAAGCCTTGCTCGCGGTTGTCTACAGCTAGATTGATGTCCCCAGAAAGGAATCGCGTGGCTATCTCCCCGAGGATAGGCAAGTGGTCCGCCATCAAATTTAACTGACATATCGCGGCTGGGCAACTCTTGATCGAAATATGCATATATATGGAGTCGGGGGATACATGAGAGCCAACCCTTACCAACCTCACCTGATCGTTCTGTTCAGGATTCACCCAGGAGGACGACAATTCTCGGTCACATTTACTTTGGAGAGATGGCCAACTCGAGCGCCCTCAAGGGCAAGCTGCGGTTGAACCGCCCCTTCAACCAAAATTTTCTCATGGGATGTATCCTCGCTTGTCTGCCTGGGATATACCTGGCCTTGACGGGTCTGGGGGCTGGTGGAGGTCAACCCACTTCGCAGCACGTTGCATCCATCACAAACTCGTATGTGTCAGGGCGTGCTTGTGAGATGGGGTTTCGAGATCTGACATTTGTATAGCATTCTTTATGGCGTCTACACCTTCTTTGGATGGTGTGCCGGCACGTTCCTGAACTATTTTGGCCCAAGCATCACCGTCTGTATTGGCGGTCTTGGCTATCCGTGAGTTCTTATATCTGTTGTTGGAACGACAAGAGGACTGATTTTTCTCCTGCCAGTCTATACGCCGGTTCTCTGTGGGCTTTTGGAAACGGTGTTGACCAGGCCTTTCCACTGTTTGGTTTGTCACTCTTCCCTTCGAGGAGAGAAACCCTTGCTAAGAATTATAGCCGGTGCCTTTCTCGGATTCTCTGCCGCCCTGCTCTGGACAGGTGCCGGATTCATCCAGTTCGCCTATGCGGAGGAAAAGGACAAGGCCAAGGTGAGACATTGGGAACAAACCACGACGGGGTTCAGAACTGACGAACCATATAGTACATTACGTATCAATGGTCTCTGTCGGCCGTCGGCGGCACCATCGGATCGCTCATTGCCTTTGCGGCCAATTTCCACAAGACCAGTGTCGATGGCGCCTCCGCCGCGGTCTATATCGTTTTCATCATCATCATGTGCATGTGAGGAATCGCCACGACCAAAGCTGCAAGAAGCAACTGTCTGACCTGTCTAGTGCCATTGTCGGTGCCTTGCTGCTGTTGGTCAAGCCCAAGAACGTGGTCCGCGACGACGGGCGTCACATCGCCGTGTTCAAACAGCCCAACATCAAAACCGAGATTGTGGGAGTGTGGAAGGTCATGTCAGACCCCAAGATCATCATTCTCCTGCCGGCCATGTTTGCCGGTGAAATGATTCTCGCTCCGGCGAGTAGTATCAATGGTGAGTTTTCTTTACGCAAGCACGTCCTTCAGGGAGGAACATCTGCATCATCATCACTCCAGCCAGATTGACAAAAGACCTGGGTTTAACACGCTTTTTTGACAGGCTACTTCTTCAATCTTCGAACACGATCCCTAGCTAACTTACTTTTCAACTTCATCATGATTCCGGCACCCCTGTTGCTCGCGTGGGTCATGGACAGCCCGAAAATCAAGTCGCGCAAAATGCGCGGGGTCGTCGGCGTGACGGCGATCGGGACCATCACCATGGCGTCGCTGGCGGGCGTGCTGGGCTGGATCTGCGTGCACGACATCGACCGACACAAGACGCCGCCGGGGGCGGACTGGACCGACGGCAGCGCGGCGGTGGGCTACATCTTCCTGTACCTGTTCTTCGGCATCGTCGACGCGTGCTTCCAGATCGTGGTGCAGTGGACGCTGTCGGCGCTGACCAACGACCCCGTGCTGTGCGCCCGCTACGCCGGCGCCTTCCGCGGCACCGTCAGCCTGGGCATGTGCATCGCCTTCACCCTCGACGCCCGCACCGTCAGCTACAAGAACCAGATCATCATCCAGCTGTGCGTCTACGCCCTGGCCCTGGCCTCGCTGTACTACGTCATTTTGACCTACGTCAAGGAGACAAACTACTTTGCCGAGGAGAACGTCATCGTCCCCGTCGCGTTCGAGGAGAAGGCCATCGTCGAGGGCCTCGTCGCCGACGACGTCATCCGCCGCGAACGCGAGCTCGAAAAGATCGCCCGCGGCCTCGCGCTTGACGAGGAGTCGAACGAGTCTAACGAGGCAGTGGCCGAGGCGGAGACCGTCCACGTCAAGGGGTAAACAGGCCGCAGCGGTGATCGAGAGGTCTGGGAGGCCGGCAAGACGAGGTGGGCGAGGACGAGCCACGAGGTGAAAATAGAATATAGTGATAGTGCCAATCAATCATCAAAGACCCGACTCGTTCAGACATGATATAGTCTAGCTTACCGAGTACATATAGAGAGCGATGTGTCCCAACTTGACCGATTCCAAGACACTACAAGATTTCGAACATCTTCATGAAATCGGGCAAAAGTCAAGCTTGGCTTCTCATACATCTGAATCAATCAATTGAATCCTCTCGCGTATACCGTAGCGCGTTACTGCCTGTCTATCTATTTATCCTTGCATCGAAAGAGAGGGACTGGGTTCCCCGGGTGCGTGATAAACATCCATCCATACATACCCTTCTCATAAGTAAAGTATCCATCCCTGTATCATCGAAATTGCTGTTGATGTTGAAACTGCGCCTGGTCGTAATACATGTCCCAACCCCAGCCGGCATTGTCGTCGTGGGCCATCATCTGCGCCTGGAAGAGAGGGTCGGTAAAGTACATTTCGGGGGCCCAGTCGGTGTGCGCGCCGTTGGACCCTGCCAACGATTGCACGGTGGCGTCTTCAAACGGTTCTCCCAGTTCACCGGCGGCGGCTACGGCGGTGCGACCAGTAGGGGTCGCCATCGAGGGCCTTTGGCCGTGATCTGAGCCGTCCACACCATCGTCGTGTCTTATCGTTGTTGTCGTAGTTGCCGATACCGGACGTCTTCCTGTCCGAGAACGCTTATTCATCTTCTTGACCAAGTCCTCGTAAAACATTTGAGCCTGCTGGGCCACGGAGGAACGGCTCCCCAGCTTGCGAGCCCACGGAAGGCCGCGCTGCAGGTTGCGCACGCCGGTACGCGAGGTGGCCGGATCGGAGCTGTTGGCCTGACGCGCGTGGAGCACCATGGCCAGGTCGAATTCGTGGATGCCAAAGTTCCACAGCGACCCCAGCAGGTCCTGCCGGTCGAGATCTTCACAGACATGTGAGATGTCTGCGGCCGCGCGGAACATGGTGTCAGTCCCCTCGGGAAGCAATGTGCAGAACCGCAGCAACGCCGCTTGGTAGGTGATGTGCAACGTGGCTGTCCACAGAGTGAATCCCGTGCCCAAGGCGCCCCCGCCCCCGCCGCCGCCACCACCAGCAGAGCTTCGAGGTGGTTGTAGAGTCGTCGGTATGCCCTTGTGCCACTGTTGCAGCTCGGTGAGGAGCGCCAGGGCTCGAGAGTTGCGGTCGAGGTTATTGCCTCGTCCACCGCCCTGGTGATCACGGTATCGGCAGGGCCGAAGAAGGTCCAACCAGCTAGATATTATGAGACAGAGATTGACTAATTCCAAAAAGAACCGCGTGTGTTCGGCCGACGGTAGCGAGCCGGGATATTCGGGCTGAAAGTCGGCCTCTGTCAGGTATTCGACGTCGCAATCAGCGAGGTTTCTGCAGAAAGATTAGACAAGAACCCTCAAAGGGACAAGGGCCGCAGTCTCTCACATGGCTCTTGGACGACCCCACTCAAAAGAACACAACGTCTATATTGTCAGCACATATGGTCATGATCGCGGATCAGCACCTACATCGTGGACAAAAAGCGACCACCAGATACGCTTCCACTGTCTTCGCATCGGTTCGCTTGCATTGGCTTTGCCCAATGCGCGGTGCATCCCTAGGCCCTGCGGAGGAGAGTTAACACAGATCACCCTGGGGAACGACCGGAACCGCCTTACTTGTGCTATCCTCACGGCGGTGCCGAGACACAGCCACATGTTTTGCAGCGTGTCGTCACAGCTGTCCGAGACAAACGTGCTAAAGAGGAGGTGAGACTGGACCAGCACCAGACGGTCTTGTTCAAATCTGTTCTCGACCAAGGCCTTGGCCCGGCCGTACAGTCTCCAGGACACCTCACCGTGAGGAAGTTTGAGATTGGGATGCTCGAATGTAGTTGATCCGGAGAGTAAGACGCTGTGTAGGAGGAGAAGGGACACGTTGGACGGCTTCGGCGCGGCCGAGTATCCTTTGAGAAAGGCGGACCTGTCGAGGATGGGCAGCGTGGCGTGGACGCGGTCGAAAAAGGCCGCAATGAAGCTGTCGGCCACTTCAGGGCTGGGGAGGGTAAACGAGCCGTACAGGTCGAGGACGGCGAGTTCGGACAGGCCCATGCTTCGGGGAATTCCCCCGTGGGCACGTTTGAAAAAGGGGGCATCGCGATAGTGGTAGACGTCGGTCTGGAAGCCGCGGCCGAATTCGTTGGCCAGCAGTCTTGCAACCGTCGTGTAGTTGTCGTTGAACGTGACCTGGTAGTCGCTGATGGCACCGAGCGAGAAATCTTGGGCCACAAAGTCCACCAGGATCGAGGTCTCCTTGGAAATGTCACCAAACCCACCGGGAGACACCTCGATCCTTCGTGGGCTATCTCCTTCCCCCAAACTGCCAAACCGTGCTCGGATCTCGTCCAGCGCCGAGGGGACTGTGATGCGGTCGACCTGTTCGACCACCTCCGCAGGACTCGACGGGTTTGTGGCGCTGGCGGTCCCGTCAGTTCCAACATCGCTCAATATCAGCGGCGGGCCAGCGCCAGTTGCATACCTCGGCGCGCCCAACGTGGCTGCTTCTACAGCACGAATAGGACGTCTCCGACGTTGGAGCCGGTCGCAGGACAGACCAGAATCTTCACACCGCGTACACGGATGGCCTCGCGTGGACAGGTCACATCTCACCTTGCGGAGATGGCAGCTCGTACATGCCGCCGCCGCGGACTTGGAACCTGGATCGCAATGAGTCAATCTTCCATGAGGCAACAAGCGCACAAATACCTGTCCGGCCGGACCGCTGCGGAGTGGTCATTGAGCGATTGTCAGGGAGGGGCAAGCGATGCCATGGATTTCAGGCTCGTAGATTGTCTCGATTACATCCCTCGTACGTTTTAGTATAGTGCATTGGGGGGGAGAGAAGTGAGGCAAAAGGGCGCAGGGTGGTACAGTGCTTCGTAGTAGGTCTTAATGGGGACATTGGGGTTGTATCGGGTTGGTTTTTGGGGGTAAAGCTAATAACTACTGGTGGCTAAGGGAGACGCCCAGTGGCACCCAATGGATTACCGAGCGCCCAAGTCTCCATTGGGTAGGCGGGGTTCCTTGGTGCGGCGGGCAGCGCACTGGCAGTGTCACATGACTTCGCGTACTTGGCGTGCGACGCGGGTGTCTCGAGGACTCCGAATTCCATCTCTCATCCCTCCATTTGTAGCTTACAGTCATTTCCTCTTGCACCCTCCCTCCCCACTCCCTCCACTCCCTCTCTGCTCACAATGTCGCCTCGGCCTGAATCTCGACAATCATTTCAGGAAAGCACAGCTTCGATGAGCCGACACACGTCCAGGTTGGCCGGTGACCAGGGCATCGCTCGCGCCAGATCTTCATCATGACGGGTTCAAGGTCGGTGTCGAGCATGAATGTCAGGAACTTGTGCACACCCAGCAGGCCCTTTTCGACGCCGGCCTTTTTCAACGCCGCCTCGACGCAGTCAAACGCCGCCGAGATCTGGGCCTCCGCAGACGTTGTCACCACCTTGCCTGTCTTCAAGTCGCACCCTGCCTGACCGGCCGTGATGACGATCTTGGCCGACGCAGGCAGTACAACAGCTTGGGAGAAGCCGTGGTTCTGGGCGAATTCGCCTGCGGGTCCGTCGTATTGATGGAAGCTCATCCTGAACGCGTTTAAAGCTTCTCGAGTTGTGTTGTTTGTGTGGTCTCCTGTATGTCATGTCAGTGAAGGGAGGCGTGTATAGGAAAGCCTGGAAACGACATGCCTGATTGTACTTTACGCGGCAACCTAGATGGACTTGGATCGAGCAACAGCAATCAACCTTGCACCTCTGGATGTGGACGAAAATCAAACAACGGTCGGGAAGGCGGTATCATCTCGGGTTCCTTATAGCATCTCCAAGTGGAATAGTCTTCACATGGCTCTAATCTTCGATAATCTTCGACAAACAGCTTCCGATTCCCGCCAGGGACCCTCTTCAGGTTCCACAATCCTCGGCGCTTGAACTTTGGTCGGCCACCCTCCGCTAGAACATCGCTTCCAGTACCATTAGGACAAGCCCGCCGTCTACGCCACACCCGTCCGACCGATTTAATATCGGTGTTCCACACGATAACTTGGCCGTCGAAACGCCGTGACGCCGCCGAAGCCTTATCGACGAGAGCCCGACTCTTAGCTACGTGCGATGCGAGGCTGGGAGGCACGAAGACCTGGATTGTCCTGCAAGGCTGAGGACACATCTATCAACACGTGGATAAATCGGGATACATGGCGGCTGAATAGAGATATGTCTACAACATACTGCAGCTGGCTCCACCACGAACGCGAAATCAAATTCGATAGTTTATGGGATATGAAAAGTGACACTATCAACTTCCATAATGGTCAATCTTCTCCTTGGCCTGACCGCCGTTCAACAACAAGTTTCGCGGGTCGTCAAAGTCAACCCATCCAAGCCAGGGCATCGACACGGAATAGCCAATGATCTTCTGCAGCCGGGCGTCGTACTGCCTGACGCTGTCGAGCGAGTTTGCCAGGAACTGGTTCTCCTCCTGCCGCAGGATGCCCTTGATCATGAAACAACTGAACACAAGCCGTTCTTCGTTGGTGGTGGTGTTGGCGCTCCCTCCGTGATAGGCGGACGCCAGCATTATGAAGGCATCACCGGGCTCTAGCTCGGCATAGTAACAGAGGTCCTCATTAGGCGGCTGCGTCTTAGCCCAGAGGTGACTGCGCGGGATGAAGCGTGTAGCGCCATTGGCCCTGGTCGTCTTCTTACCGGCGACAAACAGTCCCACGGCACAATCGCGGCCGATATTGTAGTCGGTATGCGAGGCAAGCGCCGGTAGCTCGTTGTGGTAGTTCATGTCATCGCGGTGTAGCTCCTGGCGCTTAGCACCCGGTGCGATGGAGAAGACGATGGTGTTGTTGACCTGCGGTGGCGCGACCGACCGCTCAAGTTTTTGACCCAGCCAGGCATCGTGTGTCGATGAGATGAGTCGATTGCAGACCTCTTGGTACAGCTCATTGCCGAGGACCTTGCGCGTGAACGTGGGCGACTTTTCCACCAGGCCCGTCACCCGGCGCGTCTCGGGCGGGAAGAAGTCGCCCTGCCACGGTTGATCTTTGAGGATGTACGGACGCACGTCGGCATCGATGTTCTTGATGTCGTCCCGGCTGACGAGGTTGCGCACGATACAGCCTCCAGTGCGGATGAGCGACTCGACGACGTCGTCAACGGTGGCACTGCTCGCGTCAAATGCGTCGACCTTGGCCGCACGGGAGTCCTCGGCCAGGTGCTTGGGAAAGCCTCCCGCCGGCGCGTTGGGGAGTGGTTCTTCGAGACGAGACGGCGACATATCGAAGCTCGTTAGGATATCTTCAGGTTCAATCACCGAGCGATTCAGATGCTCAAGCAATGCCGCCTGACCTTTTTATGTCCGCGGCCTTGTCTCTTGATCCCACGTTGTAGGATTTTCAAAGTCAGGGTCAACGGCTGCCGCTTAGCTAATGAAATGAGACAGTATCGTGGTATGACACCCACCACCCAAGGTGCCCGGACACGCCCCAGTCCGCCTTTTAGGCCGCTGAGACCGCGAACATTGTAAAAAGCCGACATATGCGCGGGAGGAATACTTCGTTCCGTATGAGGCAGTTGAGATAGTGGGGACAAGATGGGGAGAACGGAGAATCGCCTCACGAAAACATTGGCTGATTGTACCGACACTGAACCGTGCTGCCGGCGATTCAGCGGACAATGCGCGGCGCACAGGGGCACGAGTGGATGTTGGAGATACACACAGCGTTTCCACTCAATCCCCAACGACGATCATGATGCCGCAGACAAGTCGGCTTCCAGTCCGTTGTCAGAGCGAACTGTTGTCCAGGTCCAGCCACGTATGGAGAATGACCCTGGGCCCTAGCAATCGCGCAGTCTGAACATCACATTCCTGCCCATGAGACTGGGTATGCTTGGCTAGGATGATATCTACGGCTGAAAATGATCTTGGTCGCGTCGAATCGCCGTGTCACTGCCGGCCGACCTCCACAAACACGTGGCAAGAGGACAGAGAGACATCGAGACATCGAAATTGCGACAAAATAAATGCCATGTAGATGTCGGATACTGAAGCGCCACGATCTATCAATCATCTAGACCATCTACACGGTCTGCACAGCCACAGTACATCAATATACTCCCTTTTCCGCTCTACGAGGCCGTTGAATTGCCGGAGCGCCGAGCAATTCAAGGTGTTGGCCAATGGTCAAACTAGCAATGAGTAACCTGCCGCCCCAGGCAGGTCGAGATCGAGACCAGGACACCCCAGACCGGCCGCGAAGCCAACTATCATGCGAGAGCAGATTGAAAGGTGCTCATCCGAGATTGAGAGATGAAGATTTCGCCGTCCAGCCGAGAATCCCATAGTGCGAGTCATGATAACGGCAGTCCACCAGCCCAGCCAGCTCTTCTCGGCCACCAAACGGCTAGGACGAATTTGAGTCATACTGCCTACGAATAGGCACAGTGTTCTGCGAGTAACAGCAGTGTGTCGCCTCGTTCACGATTGATTACCGTGTCCCTGCCATTCAACCACTTATCGCACCACTGGAGGGATTCTTGCAAGAACCCTATCTGCGGACCAGATGTAGCGAAGTTGGGATACCCATGGGCCGATGGTCCTGTCAAGCCATTGCACGACATTCGAGGCGTTGTAACATGCGAAACACCACGTTCGAGCACTCGCACGACCACGCACCGACGAGGCAGACGGGGCGTTGTATGGCAGAATAGTCTTGATGGACTGAAGCGTGTTTGCGGAACTCGTCGCGTTGCTGGTGCTCATGCCATTCGACCATCCAGTTCCAGCCGGCTTCCAGACGACTCATCCACAGGTCCCGCCACTTGTCGCCGACCAGGGCCGGATCAGGAGGTGTCGAGGCGATACAGAACATCGTGGCGCATTAGTCGAAGTCGCCGACCAGGAGACAGCCTCGCTCATGTGATGCACGTTGTCTGCATAGCGGTCGTCGGTCGAGCAGAGAGGATGACCGCCTTCAATGCAGATGTGCGTCGAGCTGTCACTTGCAACCCGTCAAACGTACCCCACGAGATCCTGATCATGCCAATCGACCCTCAACGTCATGCTTGAGCGGCGATCCACTGTAACACCTCGAAGGGGTTCGTCCTGTTCCTGCTGGAGATATTCGCCAGGGAAGATGCCGTCCGAGCCACCACTGCCTCTTGCAAGTCGACGCGACCACAGGCATATCCATACGAGTCGACTTAGGAGTGATTAACAACGTCTCATCCTGCCTTTCCATTGCATGTTCGGCAAGGTATGTACTGGAGAAGGGCTGGCCTTGGGTTTGGCATGGTATCTTCTGGCTGACAGTTCATGGCGGACAGCACAATGCTGTCGAATAGATGGATCTGAAGGACGATATCGTGGTCATGTTGCCCTATCGGACGTTCCAGAGCCACGAACGGGGTGTCCTTGTTGGACGCAATGAGAAAGCAATGGTAAAGAGGGTGTTGATTCAAGTTCAGACAATAATACCTGGAAGAGACACCAGTCTCGTTGCACACAATGCCACATATGCTAAGAGCAGGGACCTACCACCACTGTCAGAAGAGACGTAAACAATATTCTCTCCCTTATCTGCCATACCTAACACTGAGCACTCCATTTCGCAGATCCTCAGCCTGTGGTGCAGCGACAATAGCTCACGTGTGCAGTATATCTACCGCTGTGCGATCTAGTGACCATCTCGCATCATTTCTCATCTCGCTGAAGCTTTCGTCTAAGATCCGACAAGTCCCTTGTCAGCCAAAGACCAAGGCTGGTTCAGTGGCGGGACCGATCTTGTTCCCCTTGAACCCTCAGATCCCAGGACGGCGTTGGCACCTCCCAAATATTCCCCCTTTGGTCGTTGGTGGGCTGTTCATACAATCTTGATAGGAATCGTCCTCCTCCACCACACGCATCATACCCGTTCGAGTAGCAAAAGGGAGATCGTGGAGTGATCCGCTCTGCTCAGTCAGTTTGATCCTCACCCTCACCCCGCCCTTTCTCCTTTTCCATGTGCCATGCCCGGACCCATACTCGCCTTACACCGACATGCGAAGTGTGCCGTCTCGTTGATATCCTCGCATCATTGGATCATCGAGCGACGTCTAACCCGAGGCGTCGAAGTTCTGGAGAGGCAAGCGTGGAGAGCTCAGGAGGGGGAATGTGTCGCTCTGCTCGCATTGCTAACTACATTCAGGCATGGTGACCAAACTCTCTTTTCTCCGTCTCCTCCTCCTTACCTCCTAGTTCGATCAAATTCGAGGTTCAATACGGGTGGTAGATAACAAACCATTAGTTAGTCTCGGGGTTTCTTATCAGTCAGTGGCCAAGCGGCAAGGCTGTTAAAAGCACCCAGTCAAGAGCCAAGAATGCCACGATGCATATATTTACCGTAAATGGAACAGTGTAGTCGGTACAGTTCGACACCAAGGCGCTGGGAAGCATTTGCAGAATTGGAACTGGAAGGCTGTGGATTTCGCTTGGTTCCGGGTCTGGAACTTGTCACCTAAATCTTCCTCGCGCCCCGTGGGGGGTGTATGGATCAATCTGCCTGTCTCGTACGGACTGGTGTACAACAACGATAATCAGGTTCTCCATGAATATACCTGATCGAGATAGATAACATGCCGCTATCTGTCGATCCCTCTCTCCAATCTAGTCTAGTCTTCCAGTGATGCCTGACAAGGAGAAGTGTAGGTACTACTACTTCAAGGTCCAGGACAAACCTGTCAGAGATAAAGAATGTAGCGTGCCCTTCAGACAACACCACTTGCTCATCCCATACCAACAAGTGAAGCCCATACAACCAAGTCCTCATCTCAGTGACTACCCAAAATGGCAGCCGACATCGCAACTCCCCTGACTGCCATCCCCACGGCGGCGGCGGCGGCAGACCCAGCAACACTTCTCAATGACCTCGATGACCTCGACCTGCCTGACTTCGACCCAGCAATCCACCTCGCGTTCCAACCACCCGCCCAACGCCACACGTTTGGCGAAGTCGGCCTCCCCAAGCCGCCGCACAATGTCCCCGATCTGTGCTACACGGACCCGTTCCCCCTGTTTTCCGCCGAAGGGGTGCGCATCCTGCGACGGGAGATGCTCAGTAAGCCGATCTTGGACAAGTACCTCAAGTCGTGGGAGCGAGCTCCGGCGTATGTGGCCGGTCATGAAAAGGTTGGTTTTGATTCTCTGTTCCTAGCGAGCGCGAAGCGAGAGAGATGGAGTTAGAAACGGGTTTGAGGCTGATCCTGAGAGCGACAGTCGGCAAAGTTCATGCTTCAGGCATGGCAACATCCCGCCACTCAGGCTGCCATCGACAGAGCCGCTGGGTTCCCGCTCCGTCGACTCTACAAGACGGGCGACATCGGCATGCTCAACATCCAACTCGGCCCCGAAGGGTTGGCTGGCGTCTATAAGCTCACGGAGACGCCCCTGCCACCACAATCGCCGCTCGAATTGGAAAAGTCCGTGTACGACAACGTCCCGATCGACTCGTGGCACAAAGACCAGGTCCCTGTCGTGTGTGTGGTCATGCTGAGCGACACGAGCGCCATGCAGGGCGGCGAGACAGCCATCAAGACCGGCGACGGGTCCATCGTCAGAGTCAAAAGCCCGACAATCGGAGGAGCTGTCATCATGCAAGGCGGGTGCACCGAGCACGCGGCCCTGCGAGCGACCAATGTTCCCGAACGAATCAGCATGGTGACCAGCTACACGTATGCGGATCCCAATATGGACGACCGGTACTCTTCCCTGCGGAGTGTCGACCCTGCAAACGACGACATGGCCCTGATGATCAACCTGTTCCTCAAGGACAAGCTCACCCGCCTCCGAGGCCGGATCGATCTGGTTTTGGCGGGCCTGGCCGAAAAGGAGGACACCGGAGAAATGATCCGACGGGGCGAGGTTGAACAATGGATCAAAGACCAAACGGAATTTCTGCGGCGCAGTGGGTGGGAAATGTTTGAGAGAGTCCCAAATTTCTTGCACAAGGATCCGCCAGAAGACGTGATCCGGGAGTACCTCAAATAGAGCCAACAGTTGTAGAGTCTAGACGGAGTTCTTCAGCCCGAATTAGTTGATTATGATTGATCGAACCAGCAATTCCTCAAGGCGCCGTAAACAAATTGCTTTCCGTTCGTTGACACAAGACGCAGGAAAAACCAGCATACTGCGTCAGACGGCTATGATCGGGGTGCCTTTCTGTTCCCATTGACGAGCAAGGAGTGTCCAGTCAGAATTCGAACTTTGCCAGAGCTCCTGGAGAAAGATTGAGATGTTGGTATAGTGTTCAAATCGCGTGTTCGCCGATAACCTCTGGCAAAGCCCACTAATGAACCCCATGCGGTTTTTGTCGCCCCGGCAAGAGGTTCCGGCAATGAACAGAGGCCATGCCAAGTTATGCAAGGCCACGTTCATGTCCTCAAACTGGTCTAGCACTTTGAAAAGCTCATCCGTGTGCAGTACCATCTGCCGTTCCTCGTCATTCTCAGAGGATGTGCTCAGACGAGTCAACGCGTAGAGGATTCCAGCATGGTGGTACGCTTGGACGAGTCGAATAAAGTCTCTTCTGTGCAATGCGGTCAGCGTCTGTGTGAGCGTCCCTGCAGCCAGCAAAGTCGAGCCGCTTGCAAGCTTGAATTCCGCTTCAAGATTTTCCACCTGTCTCGCATTCTTGGCATTACGGAAAGACGTTACGGTGATTTGGTGTAAGATCTTGAGGAAATCACCAAAAGGGACGTCTGGTTGTGATAGATGTGGCAAAATAGCGTGCTGAACGTGCTCGTAGTTGAACAATGTTGTGCAGCACAGGACGTCGTAAATGGCCAACTGGTTTTTCAGAAAGATGGTGAGGTCATCATCAGGAGGTCGTTTCAATGCCAGTGAATTCATCAGAATCCGGGCGGCTTGCCTGTGAGATTGTGCATGAGATAGTTCAGACTTCACCAGCGAATGGTTTGAGAGGATGAGCATTGCGGCCAGAACGTTAGCAGTGACTCCTCCGTTGACGTCGATCTGTGGATCGTCCATATTGTGTTCCGTCATCTGACGCACTCGTTCGGTGATCATGAGAATCGCAGCTTCGCCCGTGGACTGGGAGAATCCAGGTGGGAGGTAGTCTTCATCTTGCATGTGTTCTGCGGAGATGGTAAGAACTGCCAGACGGAGGATCACATCCTTCTCTGCCAGAGGAATGACCAAACGCTTATACTCATTCTTGTCCGAGTCAAGCCAGACCATCAGTGGTGCAATGTTGGCGGCATAATATTCAAGGAGACGTTGTGCTGTGGATGGTGGCAGCTGCTGGGCCAAGGCAAGACCGAACTGGTAGTTTGGGGTACAGATTGTTTCATCATTGACTCTCTGGAGAGGTTGAGCATCCAGGTTCAGAGACTGAGTATTCTCTGCATCAGGCGCGCCACGGCCTTTGAAACGACCACGGACAGCAATGGCATTCGTCCAACGGAATCTTGGTCCGTAGCCAGGGCATTCAACACCTTTTCGTGCACATTTCGTGCAGAATGGCAGGGTACGGTCGCAATGTATTCGCCTTCTGTTGCACACACGACAGTCTGATGAGGTTAGGCTAAGATAAAGCTCCAATGCCTCTAGGGTCTTTCGTACCTTTGGTTGCCAGTGCGTTTGATGGTGGGCTTGACTCTCCGACCACCATCGTGGTGATTACGGCTCCATACTGTTAATGATCACACAGGACCCTTAGATGAGCTTCGAGTAGCATTGGAAGGTTTATACGCCGGTCGACAACGCATCAATGCCAGATTGGAGGTGTTATCCTGTCTAGAAGGAAAACAAGACATCGTGGATTGTGACAAGGCGACCGATAAGGACCGAAAGTGGAGCCCGGTCAACAAAATGCCAAGGTATGGAAAGAAGCCCTTTGACGCCGAGACCACCTTGGCATTTGCACTCACGTAAGCAAGCGAGAAGAAATTTGAGTTTATATATTTCTTTGCAAATACTTCTGTCAACAATTGTCCTGTTACGCAGTCAGTTGTATCAAACCATTATTCGGAGAGATGGCCGAGTTGGTTATGGCGTCAGGTTAAGGCTTCAGTCTTGACACCACGTTTCCTGATGGGGCAACCCGCGTGGGTTCGAATCCCACTCTCTTCATTTTTGTTTTTTTTAGGTCACCTATCTACAACCATCTATAAACCTATTTATTCCAAGGGTCGAATTACTATGTTCTTTAATATTCTTTTTTGACTCCTGTAAGTATAGATAGATGACTTCGAGCCTCCTGTTGTCGAAGGAGTCCGTAACTTCAAATCCTCTGCCTACCGAAATGGTCATTTTCTTTGCTTTTCCGAGGCTTCATAGGGCAAAGTATTAAATACCTTGTGCAGTGTCCGAGAATGCCTTGCACTTCATTCAGTCCTGCAAGGCTCGCCGATGATGCTGTTGACAGACAGACACGGCAGCGCGCTTGGCCCTATTCACTCTCAGGGTCTCATTGACCATCACGAAGCGACAGCTCTAGCATGGCCGCCAAAAAAATCCCTGCTCTTTCCCACGGTAGTGGATGACACAGAATCTGGATTTCTATCGACCTTGCGCTGAACGCGTGTTCGGCTCGCATAACTGAGGTCCCAGGTTTCATCGGAAGGTCATATCCCAGTAGGGATACTTTTTCCAGCCCTAACTGGATCGACACATTCACTGTTGCTTGTCCCCAGCCGACGTTGCAACGTTAGCAATGTCGAGAGGGACTCCGCGATAACCAGTGGTGAGGATTGATTCGCTGAGCACGAGGTACGCCGCCCTACAACAAGAACCACCGATCTACGCCCTTGTGGTTGACGGCGTCTCCTTTTCTTGCCCCCATCAGGCTTAGCTTGGGCTCGACAAGGCGTGGACCCCATTTGCCGAACGAAGCACCGAGTAAATATGAACCCACGATCGCGCCATCTATTTGGTGGCCATCCTTACTTACTCACAAGATCGCGGCGTGCAAGGTTAGGGTATACTGTATCGGAAAACAGCCAGCCTGACGCTATCAGTGTGAACAGTCCTCTAGGTTCAGCTCGGCCTTTCGGAAACACTACGATCAAAGGGGTGATTTTATACCCGTGCGGGCGTCCCTACTGGACTGTTGGAAAGGCGCGGCATGGGCTCTATTGATAATGCTCTACCTGGACAATGCGCCCACAACGTCTCCAGACCCAATGGACTTGGTCAGGGCAGTCCTCCACTCCGAGACCTTGGTACACTGGCAAGGACTCTGGCCCCAATCACGACGGCAGACCTGTTCAAGGCTGAATACTATAGCAAGAAACCAAAGTCAAGTATTGATGTCAGCAAGTTTCTCAGCCGCGAAGGACGTGTTCGACAGCCATCGTCGCTGAAAGCCAGCGTGGCCGAGATGGGCGAAGACATGATCAGCCTAGGCACAGGCCGTCCATCGCCAGATACATATCCTTTCGAGAAGGTGGAATTTACATATTCTTTGCCCAATGCTAGTGCCTGGAGTGGTCAGGGTATGAATGGCAACGGACCCCGAGGCAAGCAAGACACGGCCGTGGTATACAAGCAAGACGTGTCAGCTTCGATCGATCTATCAATTGCATTGTCCTACGGCTATTCCCTTGGGCACGAACAGCTCATTCAGTACCTTACCACCCACGTCTCATATCTCCACAATCCACCCTATTCAGATTGGGAGATCTGTCTTACCGGAGGAAACACACCGGCAATGGAAACTGCCTTTCGCAACTTCACAGACCCCGGTGATTTTGTCCTGGTGGAAGAATACACGTATTCAGGGATGATCGAGGCGGCCGCAGCATTGAACCTGATACTGGTCCCTGTTGCCATGGATGACGATGGTCTATCTCCTCAATCCCTAGACAATATCCTGTCAACCTGGGACGAAGTCCATCTGGGAAAGCGGGCGCCGAGGCTGTTGTACACGATACCCACCGGACACAATCCCACAGGCATAACCCAGCCGCAGCATCGCCGGCAGGAGATAATGGATTTGGCCGAGAAACACGACATTGTGATCCTCGAAGACGACCCTTATTATTATCTGCACTTTCCACAAGGTCTTGGAGGGTCAGATACTGTCTCGCCGCCGTCCTACCTATCGCTCGACACCGCAGGACGCGTGATGAGACTCGACAGCACGTCCAAGATTCTCGCGCCAGGGTTGAGATTGGGTTGGCTGACAGCGCCAAAGGCCATTGTCGAGACATTCCAAGCCGCACATGACCTCGGTTTCATCCATCCGAGCGGCCTGAGTCAGCTGGCTGTGTATAAGCTGCTGTCGGAGACATGGGGCCACGAGGGATTCCTGAATTGGCTCAAGGCTTTGGCGGGCAACTACCAGGAAAAAGCTACAGGGATGCTCGAAGCCATGGAAATGGAACTTGGAAGGGGAATACTGGCGGATATATGTTCTTGGGACGACATCCGCGCGGGCATGTTCATCTGGTTGAAGGTGGACTGCAGCAAGCTGATGGACGTATCACGAACACAAATGGACGCAGAAGCAAGACACCAAGCACTGTTGGACATCGAGACCAGGATCTATGCGGAGGGGCTGAAGGAGGGGGTGCTCGCCTGCAAGGGCAGCCATTTTCGGACGCCCCTGTTGAAGTCCACTAGTGTTGTCAATAGCAAGGGCCAGATGTCAAGTGAACTTGAAAGGACTCTTGCCCAGGAAGAGGACGTTGTTTACTTCCGCCTGACTTTTGCGTCTGCTGAGCAGGCAGCTCTTGCGAAAGCAGTTGGACGTCTTGGGACAGCACTCCGTAGGGTATTCACTAATGTCACCAGCAAAATAAGCCCAGAGACAGCCTCTCTCTGAGGAAGCGAGCATTATAATTTATCGACTTCTAATTTGTTACCGAGATTCTAGTGCCATCCGAACAGCTTCGCGTGCGGTACAAAAGTCCACTACTGACATGCATCCACAGACACGGTGAACCCATGTGGGAGGGCCATACAAGCGAACAGAATGCCAAGTAACCAACTTCGGGAGGAAGAGTGAAGACGCAGGGCCAAGATATGCCGAAGCCTTTATCTTCGAGGCCTTGGGGTTCGGCTGCTGATCTGGGCCCAGCACGACTGATAAGAAGTCTCCATTTATCAACCAGTTTCGGGCTGGACGATGTTTCCTGCTTTCAAAGGTACCAATTCTCTCTGACCTATCGTATGGATTTACCTTGTCAGGAAGCTGGATCATTTTTGGCCACGGACCTAATCATGTTCGCAATCCTGTCCGTCTTACCGCTGTCAATCGGCAGTAAACGTTGTTGGCCATGATGTTCTATAAGATATTCAGGTGCCCCGGGGCTGATCCCGTGTCTGTCACCACAGCTGAAAATCCTCATCTCCCATGGCGTCCATCAAGTCCGTACCCTCGCAGTCAATAGACAAGATGAGCGAGAAGCGTGGCTATGAGGTGCAAGAAGGCGAGGCGGCGGCGGTGGTGGAAAACGTCGACTCCCTCAAGCGACGATTGTCGAATCGGCAGATGCAGCTCATAGCGATTGGCGGCTCGATTGGAACTGCGCTCTTCGTCAGCATTGGATATGGACTCATCGAAGGCGGACCCGGCAGCTTGTTCATCGCCTTCACCCTGTACTCGTGCGCCCTCGGCCTCGTCAACAGCTGTATGGCCGAGATGGCCGTCTTCATGCCCGTCAGCGGCTCCTTCATTCGAATGGGATCCAAATGGGTCGACGAGGCTTTCGGGTTCATGGTCGGCTGGAACTTTTTCATCTACGAGGCTGTCTTGATCCCATGGGAGATTGCGGCGCTGAACCTCGTGCTGACCTACTGGTCCGACAACATCCCCAAGGTCGCTATTTGCCTTGGGTGTATTGTTCTCTACGGGTAAGTTGGGTCTTACAGCTGGTAGTTCTTGATTAGTACTAACATGTCAGATTGATCAATCTCTTTGCGGTCAAGTGGTACGGCGAATCCGAGTTTTGGCTGTCGGGCGGCAAAGTGATCCTGGTCTTTATCGTCTTTGGCTTTACCTTTGTCACTATGGTATGCACAACTTCTGAGCCTGGTGCCATCGGCATTTGATAACAGAGTTCAGGTGGGAGGGAACCCGCAGCACGATGCATACGGATTTCGATACTGGAACAACCCTGGGGTGAGACATTCTCAACATGCACTACATCGACTCTTACTTACCCAGTGCAGGCTTTTGCAGAGTATGTCACAACCGGCGCCCTCGGCCGCTTCGAAGGGTTCCTGGGAGCCCTGTTCATGGCTGCATTCACCATTGTGGGCCCGGAGTATGTGGCCATGGTCAGCGGCGAGGCCATGTATCCGCGGAAGCACCTCAAACAGGCCTTCAAGACAGTCTACTGGCGGTTCGGCATCTTCTTCATTGTCGGCGCTCTCTGCGTCGGCATCGTAGTTCCCTACAACGATCCGACTCTGAACGACGTTCTCAATGGAGGTTCCGCCGGCACCGCAGGCGCATCGGCCTATGTGATTGCGATGCAGAACATGGGCATTAGCGTTCTCCCGGACATCGTGAACGCTCTTCTCGTCACGAGTATCTTCTCGGCAGGAAACACTTACGTGTACGTTTTAGTTCAAATTCCTGGTGACAGTTCCCCAAGACTGATGACGCTTCTCTCTTCACAGGTACTGCGCTTCCAGGACGCTCTACGGTCTCTCGCTCGACGGGCATGCGCCGAAGTTCTTGCAGAAATGCACAAAGGCCGGGGTGCCCATCTACTGCTTCTTGGTCACCATGCTGTTTCCGCTCTTGTCGCTGCTCACGCTGGGCACGAGCAGTACGCAAGTCATTACTTGGTGCGCACCGTCCGTCCCTCATCGTTTCAAACCAGAAGAGACTCTAACTTCAAAACACCAGGCTAACCAATCTCACCGAGGCGTCTCAAATCATCGACTTTATCGTGATGGTAAGAACCTCCTCGTGCATGCGTTTGATGGTAGCTATATTATATTAACTAACCCGGCGGACGTGGTGAACAGTGCATCATCTACCTCTTCTTCTACCGCGCGCTCAAGGCACAGGGCTACGACCGCAACACCCTGCCATACAGGGGCTGGGGCCAACCGTACGTGGCCTGGGTGGCCATGATATTCATGATCTTCATCGTCGGCACGTACGGGTACACGACCTTCCTGCCCGGGTGGTGGGACGTCGGCGTCTTCTTCTCCTACTACACCATGTGCTTCGTCTGTCCGCTGCTGTACGTGGGGTGGAAGATCGTCAAGAAGACCAAGATCGTCAAGCCCGAGGAGGCAGATCTGGTCTGGGAGCGTCCCGTGATTGACGCGTACGAGGCGAGCTTTGTCGACAAGCCGCTCGGCTTCTGGCAGGAGATCAGGCTGCATCTGCCCAAGTTGGGGAAGAAGGGGCCAGCAGCTTGAAAATTGATGTGGAGGGTTCCCCCTGTTGCTTCTCTCATGAGGAGCATCGTTTCTCGGATCTCTGACCTTTGGGCCAGATGTAATGTCGCGAGTATATATGGCAAATATGTGTGTGCAATATGCGTCATACCGCGTATAGTCTTGAATGTTAGGATCACAAGATTAAATGCCCAAAGTTTCGCCGTTTAGAGTCTGTACACATTATTTTGTTGGTTACTATTGACTCGCTCCGCCCAAGGCAACCTTCCTCTCCTCCTGCAACAAATCCAGCAAAGGCCCCTCGAGCACATCCTCACGATCGAGGACAATCTCCACCATCCTCAACCCTTTCCCACTCGTCATCTCCTTTGACGCCAGCACCCGCTGCAGATCACCCCAGTCGCGTACCGTGGCCGTAAAGACGTCGTCGTCGTCGTCGTCGTCGGCCTCGGCACCCAGAAACGACGGCGCTTGCAGGTACCGCCACGGAGCGACGTCGTTGTAACTCTTCCGCAGCCCGTGGATGCAGCGCTCGATCGTGTACCCGTCGTTGTTGAGGAGGAAGATGACCACGTCGAGCCTCTCGCGGATGATGGTGCTCAGTTCTTGCACCGTCATCTGGAAGCTGCCGTCGCCGATGAAGAGCACGGTGCGCGGGCGCGCCGGCTTGGTGTCGCCGTTGGATCTGGACGGGGCGGAGAGGAGAAGGTCCCTCTGCGCCAGGGCCGCGCCTTGCGCCGCGGGCAGCATGTACCCGATCGAGAGCCAGGTGACCGGCGCGAATACCCTGGTGTCCTGTGGGAGGGACATCTCTTGCACGCCGTAGCCGGCAGTGCCGGTCTCTCCGAGGACAATGTCCCCCGGGCGGATGGAGTTGGCGAGCACGCGCCAAAGTCGATCCTGGGTCACTTTCTGTTTGCTTGGAAGTAGCGAATGACACACCATCGGATGTTTCTCTGGCAATTCCGGTCCTGGTACCGCTGGCAGCGTCGGTGCCAGAGCACTCAGCTCCTCGCGCAGGCCCGACACCGCGGCCCGGGCTCGGACGTCGCGAAAGATTTGCGCGCCTATCCGTACCTCATTGTCCGTGTAGCTGATGGTGACGGCCTGTGGGGGGATGCTCGTCGAGTCGAAGGTGTTGGTAGTGCTGAAGTGAGGGCCGAAACATAACACGAGATCGGAGCTGTCCACGAATGCCTTTGCCTTGGGGTCATAGCTGCCCCGGTAGACGCCGTGGACGTTGGGAGCCGTCTCGTCCACGAGGCCCTTTCCAAACACGGTGACCCAGGTAGGCCACTTTGTGAGTCGGACGATGTGCTGGACGTCCTCGGTGATTCCGAGGGCTCTGCTCTCACCGTCAACCAGGATGGCCGGGTGCTTGGCCGTCTTGATCTTCTTCAGCACGAGCGACAGCACCGTGTCGTGGGCAGGTGTGATGGTGCTGTTCATCGAAGTGACAGCCGCAGATAGACACTGTGAGTATAATCGGTCTGCTTCGACAGGTGCATCCACCAAATCCACCGGCACCTGGATATAGACCGGCCTGCTCTGCAATAGACACTGTCTTAGCACCGCATCAATCTGCTCTGGTGCCATGAGAGGATCCCAGAGACTCGCCTGCGCGACCGTGATCTGGGCGTGCATCTGGGCAAAACGGTCAAAATTCCCGTCTGCAAACGTGTGGTGGACCTTCAGACGGGAATCCTGGACAGACCTCTCGGGTGTGCCAACCACATGCACCACCGCTGAGCGTTCACAATATGCGCCAGCGATGGCATTGACAGCAGAAAGTTCCCCAACCCCGAAAGTGGTGATCAGTGCTCCGAGGCCATTGATCCGCGCATACCCATCGGCAGCGTATCCCGCGTTCAGCTCATTGCAGTTGCCCACCCAGTGCAGTCCCGATGGCTCAATGTGATCCAGGAGAGTCAAGTTGTAGTCGCCAGGGACGCCGTGGATGGAGCGCACTCCAAGCTGATGAAGACGTGTGAACAGGTACTCTGCAAGCTTGACTGTTGAAGGCATTTCGGGTCAGCCACAGTCAGGAATGGATTCTGACGAAGTAAACCGGCTGTCGCAAAGTTCGGGACACTTTAGAGATTTATTGCAATGAACCGCGCAGGAGGATTCCATTTCTTGACACAACTCCGCAAAAGAGGGTGAGTCGGCATCTTTTGGGCCGTATTCACTGCAACGCAAGAACTGACCCATTCAAGAACAGAGATGAATAGACGGGTTTGCACTGGCTCCGATGGCTCCATAGACCACGACGACACACCATACAACACAGCATAGAATCATTGGGGGCTTTTTCTACACCATGTGGAAGGGTTCGCTCAACGTGCCATCGAGATGACTCTTCGTTGTAGGCGACATCCCCGTCACTTTAGGCGACTCCACATTTAACCCATATTTGGTTTAGCTCTCCATTCTATGCCCATTTCTGGTCATTTCCCCACGCCCTTGTTCGATGCCTCCAGAATTCTAGAACGAATCCCACGAGCCTACCTCGTTGGGACAGACACATGGCCTCAATTACAAATTGATTCGTATCCAGTGGATCTCTTCTAGATCTTCCCTCTTTCCAAGAACGCTGTCGGGATCTCAACATGCTTGGCCCGCAGATACTCGGCGACGTTCTTGCCGAGAATGTCGTATGTGCTGCTACTCGCAACGCCACGGTCCAAGTGATCCAGCAACAAGAAATGAACGGCCCAGATATTTGGGAGCTCGAACCTCTCGACCAGACCGCCCTTGTAATCTTCACCGAGAAGCTCCTTGACCCTGGCAATGGTCAGCGTCGACCTGAGCCACTCGTACTCGTCCGCGTGGCGGACGTAGAAGCCGACGTTGCAATTGGACGATTTGTCTCCCGACCGGGCATGCACGATATATCCCAGCGGAGCCGTGGTCGTGGGACCCCAGGACGTCAATGGGCGTGGATTTTCAGGGTCATACGAAGGTTGGTGACGTGGGTAGGTCTGGGTTTTGGTCGGGGTGGGAATGTCGATCGTCTTGTCTGGGAGGTGGAGCTGGTGGGAGACGACTCCCTGAGGGATCAATGCTACCCAGAATTCCTGAACAACAGAAGTCTCAGGTCAGTCGGACGATTCTTTCATCACATAGACATTTTCACAAAAGGGATAATCCTCACATAATACACCTTCGGCGTGCCTTGGCGCATATCCAGGCTGAACTGCGCGCCAGGGTACGTCTGCATGACCGTGTCCACGACGGGCTGCAAGAAGACCGAAGTCGCCAGATCATCAGCGTTCCGGGCTTGGGCAAAGACTCGGAGGTCGCACGTGGCAGACTCTTGACTGCGCGGGTTGTCAGGGCTCCTGCCATTCAGAGACACCCTGAAACAGTGGTATTTGTCGATTGGAAGGACGTCTCGGATCTGCGTCTCGAACATGGCTGCCTTCTCCTCAACGTCCAGGCCGACCACGTAGAAGTGAGTCTCGGCCTGGTAGCCGCCAATGGCAGTGACGCCGACCTTGGTAGTGGGTGGTGGCGGGAGGCCTTTGACGCCCGAGACCTTGACACGGTTTGGACCAAGCTGCTCCATGCGGATGTTCGAGAGCTCGGCGACAACATCCTAAGCGGGGTCATCAGTTCTATACGAAGATCTAGATTGTTGTGGCTCTCGAAGGTAAGACTTACAGAGTTGAAATACCACGGGCCCTGAATTTCATACAAAAGCTGGCTCTTGCAGGTTTCAATCGACACGATGCCATTAGACCCCTGCTCCTTGGAAATGATGCACGTCCCGTCCTGTGCAAGCTCTGCAATCGGGTAGCCCAGGTTGAGAATGCTTTTGCCAGTTCCGAGAGACTTGAACCCTGACCAGTTGGCTCCGCAGACGTACGCGCCACATTCGATCAGATGGCCACAAACAAGAGCACCAGCGAGTTCATCCAACTGGTTTTCATCCCAGCCGTGCCACCAGAGGCCAGCGGCAATGACGGGAGCTGGATCAGACACTCGACCGGTGAGGACGATATCAGCGCCCTCGGCCCAAGCCTTTGCGATGCCACGTCCACCAAGGTAGCACTGCGCATAGATAGGGTCAAACTCCCAAGTCGAAAAGTCCTTGTCCGTAGTAAGTCTCTGCAGCTTGTCTCCCTTGGTATGCAAGGCCTTGAGGTCCTCGATTGGGATTTCGTCCCCTGACACCCACGCGACTTTCAAATTCAAACCCTTCCTCGCAATCATTTCTCTGACATGTTTGGTGAGGAGTTCCGTACCAGAGGCCCCCGCGTTGGCTGCGAGCTTGATCTTTTTGGCCGCCAAGTGCTCCAACGCCGGTTCCAGTGATTGAAGGAAAACCGATTCATAGCCCAATGCTTTCGGGTCTTGTAACTTCTCCGCGCCCCGAGTGGTCATGTTGTACTCACTCATCCAGTCGCCGAAGATAACGTCGACGTCTTCGTTCTGAGCCATGCGTGCCAGAACTCCATGGTGGTCTGTGATTCCTCCTTCACAGCCTCCGATCCGCACGGCACGATTCTGGATGGACGGCATTGTGTGATAAGAGGTGAATCGAGGAGGTGATGCTGTTTTGGATGTTGAGAAAAGGAGATGAAAGGAAGGCGTGTCTCGTAATACAACGTCACGACTTTTTTATATGCTACCTCACAAACTTTGAATGACAATGGTCCTATATGATGCGGCGAACCGGCCTGGAGGATTGTGAACCGAGAATCCAGCACCAACGGCACGAACCAGGTCTTATGTCTTCCAGAGACTTCCCCGCTGTAGGAATCTTGCGGTATATCATCTCCCTGTCCATGAACCTGGCGTGGCAAGAAGTCGAGAGCTCGGAGATCGCGACCTCCGAGCTTGGGAGCATCCACCCCAGTTGGCAAGAGTCTGTCCAATCAAGTTGATTGATAGACACCTACTAGCGGATAGAGAGGAGGGACGCGTAGTGGAGGGGAACCAGGAGTCGTACGGTACGAGCACCCCGAGTACTTCTGTGGATGGTAGCAGAAGTATATAAAAAGAAGTGGGATCAGTGGGGATTTTATGGGTCGGTAATCCCCCGCACAAGCAGCCGAGGGTGTCAACATCAGTTCTTCTGGGATTCAGGACCGCTGTGACTCTCTCTTCAGGACAGCCTCCTTGAACAGTGTGGCAGATCAAGTGATTATAGTAAGGTTCCTCTGTTTGATCCAGCGCATCCTAGCCTTGGGGCTATAAAAAGACAATACAGCCAGACGAAAGCCAGTAGGTCGAGTATTTGGACTCTGGCTTGAGCAACGGCGAGCGTTGAACAGTTCATATTAGAATGAGCTGATCTTTTTTCAATTGGTTTATGGGCATTACACGAACTTATATAACGACATCCAGTATGATATTTTCGTCGTAACTTTTGAAAGCAGATCAATAGCTCGTATTCTGGACCCATAGGCTCATGACAATAGTAGGACATTAGGAGTACAAAGTAGAGATGTGAGATATAGACTAGAGACGCTCATCTATCCTTCATAGCCATCAAGGAGACTGTAGTAGCTCAATCTTCCGCTTCACGCTTGCGGTCCAACCCTCCAACCCTGCAACTTTCCAGGCATCAATTCTCCATGTTTGTGGATAATGCCAGTGGGGAAGGAGAATGAATACCGAGTCTGGGGAGTGGCAGCGCCGGGTGGAAAGCCAAAGGTCACCACACGCACACGTCTCTGAACGACTTGGAGAACCGAAGATGGCAAAGCATATCTCCGCTTTCATCGAGGGTCCCTCTCAATGAATATCCCTTCTCTCGCTCAATAATTTCGTTCGTCATTTTGTTCTCGAAACCAACACAGTCTGTTGACATCTTCCACCCTTGACCATGATTGTCAAAGAATCGAGATGGGACCAGCGAGGCAAGCGGCCGGCCAGAATCGCCAATGTGTCAGGTGCCAGAAGTCGGTATTCCCAAGCGACTGTATTCATATCGATGCGGGCAGCGAGACTAACATTCCTCAGCCGACCCCGGCTACCATATGCGTCGACAAGCGGAATGGGGTGATGTTGATTTCTTGACGGGCGATTATCTCGCGGGTAAGTGCTGAGCCATGTTGTGAGATTCCGGCATTGTCAAGACTAGCACTGATGGATTCCACGCATAATGCGGGAACAGAGATCAATCTCCCAGAAAACAAAAAGGGAATGGATGCCGGCCTGCACGACGGCTGGGAACCGACCTGCTGGGACGGCTTCGTGCAAACCATTGATCTGATCGCTCAGAAGGAGCTGAAGGTCATTGTCAACGGAGGAGCCCTAAACCCTGGAGGCCTCGCGGCCAAAGTCCAGCAACTTGTAAGACTTTCCTACGTCCATGATGATGATGACGTTCTTTTCTCCGAGACCATAGGAGCTCTCTGACCAAGACATACATAGGTCAACGAGAAAGGCTATTCCCTCAAAGTCGCCTACCTGTCCGGCGACGATCTGACCGAGGAAACAAAGGACCAAATCGCCCGCACTGGTCAAATCCCCGCTCATCTGGATTCTAACAATCCCGACGTCAAAGTCGAAAAGCTAGCTGTTGCCCTCCAGGACTACCAATCCAGACCCGTGATCACCTCGCACGCGTATCTAGGGGCGAGAGGGATCGTAGGGGCTCTCGACGGCGGCGCAGATATCGTCATCGCAGGTCGAGTCGCCGACGCCTCTCCAGTGATTGCTGCCGCATGGTACTGGCATCAATGGAAGCCGACAGATTACGACCAACTCGCGGGCGCCCTTATCGCGGGCCACTTGATCGAATGCTCAGCATACACGACGGGCGCCAATTTCGCCGGTTTCGACCAGTTCGACCTGGACCTGTTGGTAGACCTTCCCTTCGGCATCGCCGAGGTGGCCAACGACGGAACTGCGGTGATCACCAAGCATGAAAACACCGAAAAGGGCGTCGTCAACGCAGACACCATCAAATGCCAGTTCCTCTACGAGATCCAGGGCGCCATCTACCTGAACAGCGATGTTTCCGCCGACACGACCAATATCGCGATCAGGGACGTGGGCAAGAACCGCGTCGAAATGTCGGGGATCAAGGGCTACCCGCCGCCTCCGACGACGAAGCTCGCTGTGTTCTACGACGCGGGGTATCAATGCCAGCTTTTGGCCAACGCGGCCGGATACGCGACGGACAAGAAGTGGCAGTTGTTCGAGAAGCAGATGCGGTTTTTCCTCAACGAGAAGGGTGTTTTGGACCAGTTTGACCACCTCGAATTCCAGATGTGAGTAGGCTTCATTCCTGTCTTTGAGGCTTTTCGACCTCTCCTTGGTGTCGATTTTGTTTCTTCAAATCCTCGAAGCTAATGATTCAACACTCTGCTAGTGTGGGCGTTCCGGAACAAAATCCGCGAAGCCAGCTCCGCAGCACAACCTATTGTCGTGTCTTTGCACAGGCTCCGACAGAGGAGCCTGTTGCTCAAATATTCTCTGCCTGGGCAGACCATGTAATGCAGCACTTTCACGGCAAGTATTCCCCAAACCAAACCCCTTCGGGATAGATCTCTTTCCAACCATCATCATGGTCCGATCCATTCTGATATCAAAATCCAGGACTACACTGGTCGCTCGACTACCGCACCGCGCACCCCAAGCCGTATATATCCTTCTACCCGGGCCTGTACGACCAGACCGCTCTCAAAGAAGCCGCGCACATTCTCAACCCAGACGGCAAAGTCGCGCAGACCATCCCCGCGAAGCTCCCCGCCGAGTTCTACCACCTCGAACGCCGGATCAATTTCGACGCCACGCCATACACCCCGCATAGCCCAGGAGGTCCCACGCGCACCGTCACGCTCGGTGACATCGCCTACGGCCGCTCCGGCGACAAGGGCGCCAACTGCAACTTTGGCATCTACCCGCGCAACCCGGCGCACTGGGACTGGTTCCGCGGGTACATGTCGCGGGCGAAGCTGCAGGAGCTGATCGGGGACGACTGGCGCGACTCGTACTTTATCGAGAGGATGGAATTTCCCGAGATCAAGGCCGTGCATTTCGTCGTCTACGGCATCCTCGGGCGCGGCGTGTTGGCGAGCACCTTGCTCGATTCCCTGGGGAAAGCGTTTGCAGACTATATCCGGGCGAAAACGGTCGATGTCCCCGTGGAGATTTTGGAGCTGTAGAAGAAAACGAGAAAGGAATGAAAAAAGGGTCGGGGAAATGAAAGGATGGATTTTGGCTGATCGATTCGGGTTTTGCCATGGCCAGAGGAGTGTCTATCTACCCGTCTCGCTGGCTGGCTGTTAGTCACGTCTCGTTGCGAGATAATGCCTCCAGTAACAGGTCCAGGCTATTGATCTTGGTCCAAGAGTTCAGCTGTTGAAGCCATCCACTCTGCAATATCTCCTCTTCGGTGGGGGAACCTTTTCTTTGGTTTTAGGGTTACCCCCTTTTGCCCCTTATGTGCATCCTTCGTGTTGAAAAGGCCGTTCGAAAGCAGAACGGACTCAGACCCCTGAGCGTTCTGTCCCAGCGCAACCTGTTATTGATACCTGATCCTCTACTTCAGCGACTGTACAGGCCTGAGAACTACCATATGTCAGAGTGAGTGAGCATCATGGCGCAACTCAGCCTTGTGCGCGAGCCTTGTGTGGGGTAAAATCAATCGGTTCTAACCTGCCTCGAACACCCAACGTCACCGTGTGTGATAGTAGTGGGACAAGATTGAGATGAGGACCTCTCTCTCGGATCGTCCGGGATACTTCGGAGAACTGAGACTCCGGCGGGTGTTGTAAAAGTGCGCAGACTCGGAGAACAATCACCGAGTGAGACGGACCGGACTTGGAAGCGGATGGTGGAAGGGGGGGAACGGGAGGGGATACTCAAAGAGGCGGAAGAGGGTGTGAATTGGCTAAAAGGGTTCCGAGTCGCTGAAGGAGATAGGGAATAGCTAACGGGGATTTAGATGGACAAACGGGTTTCTAGTGGCCAATAGGGTATGCCAGCAGCAGAGAGGTATCCAAGTACACTCAAAACGGCCTACACAATCCGAAACTGGTGTGCACCTAGAACCCCAGTAGACTTCCAGATAATATGTGAAAGCTCTTCTTCACGAAATTCTGTCAGGTACAGGTTGTCATTGCAAAGTTCCTGATTCATTTGAGATTTCCTGGCGAGTGCGAAAAGCATCACAGATCCGCTGTAAAAAGATGTCGTCAGAGTTGATGGTTGAGTCGGGAAAACCAGAATAATAGATGATGGAGTAACGGGCCGCCTTTAGTCACTCTTTCAACCCACGCGCTCTATCAGATTCAGCTTTGGGATCAAAACGCAGCATCTACCCCTCGACATTGTCACACCACGAAGGTCAAGCACTCACACCAAGACCGATCAGAGCAAGATGTCCAATCAACTAGTCACACAGTATATAGATATCCTTTTGGAGCCCTGATATTTCTCTTTAAGAAGGACGAGTCCAGGGTTCCCGTCTCGACTTTGTCGAGGTGTAATGTCTCAGGAAGAGGAGGTACGGCTGCGGTCCAGCTTGGAGCTTCTTCCCGGTTGAAATTGGTGTGTCTTTGCTCAGATTCATCCATCGATTTATCTCGCCGAAGTCCAAGTTCCAGACGCCAGTTGAACGCGTCAACCAGAGCCTCGACCATACTAGCAAGGATGGCATAGGTGATCGGATCTGGGTCTTTTGGATCCGGCATTCGGCAGAGCTGCCAGGAGTGTTCGTTGTGGAAGAAAAAATAATCGCACTCGTACCCCATCATGATCAGGTCGGCCGAGCAGGTATCCTCATAGAGACGATAGAGCGAGCGCAGAGGCGTGTCTCGCGTGCGGAAGAGGGGTATTCGGCGGAGCTGCATGATGCCTTGCTGCTGTGAATCTCGTCGCATCGCTCCATCTCGCTCGAGCTCTGCTACGGTGGGTCGAGCTTCTAATCGAAAGTGCCATGGAAATGGCCATAGTAGACGCAGTAAGAGTCTCCATGGCCTACGACAGGTCCACAAGCGACCGATAGATGTGCGTATCTGGAGCGGAGATGCGCTCACGGTGAGGATACGTGGAGCCATATCCTCAGGCTAGCTGGAACGGGAAGGAAGAGAGGGCGGCACGGGCGGGAAAAGGTTCGGGCGGGAGAGATCCAAACATCCAAAGAGGGGACCTGCCTCAAAGACTTTAAGTCATGGTAACGAGTGGTGGTGAGGCATGATACTGTGTAACTATGAATGAGTGTCCAAGCACGATGGCATAACAACTGAACGCCAAGGCGCTAAATTATGAAACATGTCACAGCTGTCAAAGTTGTCAAGGCAGTCGACCAAGGGATGCCCTGTCCAATAGCAGATCAAGTATACCTGGTGAGAAAAATGACAAGCAAGGGGGACAAGAGATTTCACAGACCCTTTTTGGCCGCAAACGCCGACGGTGGCGCGGGGCGTCTGGTACGCGCCGAGGCTGCGCGAGGCTGTGAGAAAATAGGGGGTCCCTCTCCGGTAACACGCAAGAAACACCTTGTAGCAGGTTGCGAGATGAATCAGGCTCCATGACTTCCATTCTCATGACGTGGGACTTATTGAATTATAGATAGTAACATGTCTTGAAGGACGTTTGACAAACAAGTATTCACGGACAGACGGGCCTCGAGTGAAGCAGCAATCCTAGGTACATTTGATCAGGCAAGGTAAGATAAATACAAACATTTTCACATATATTCACACACACACACGCACGCACGCACATACACACACACACACACACACATACATACCGCACCCCTCCTGCCTGAGTGCCTTGTCATGTACAAACACAAACTCAGACACACAATACCTGACTTTCCTTTCTTTACCTTCTTATTTTCCTCTCATCACAAATACACGGAAACAAAGCCACAGCCTCAGCCATCATTCTCACTTGAAAGGTATTGAAAACACCGCAATGGACTGGACCGACGAGGAGAATCAGGAGGTCCCACCACCGCCACCATGCTCACCGGCGACGCCAAAAGCCGTCGACAAAAACCCCCCTGCGCAAGAAACTTTGGACAGTAACCACGAAGACGACAACCACGACCAGCACAAGACCAATACGAAGAAGCAAATCCTCTGCCGCGTCGTCCTGGACAAGAGATACGCCGTCGACCCGTTCACATTCCCCGCCGCGGAGGCCACGACCGTCGAAGCACTGCTCAACAAGGCGTGGCCGGTCGTCACGACGGCAGTATCGCGCTACAGACTCAAGCTCAAACCCTTCAGGACCATGTTCTTCAACCTGCAGGAATCGTGCACCGAGATGCCCTACCGCGAGTACCTGTGGACGACGGTCAACACGGAGCGAGATCCCCCTGGACAGTATACCGAGTGGTATGTGCGCAACGTGGTGAATGGCAATGGTGACGAAGAGAAGAAAGTCATGGTTGAAATCCACGTGCTGGCAAAGGGCAAGGCAGGGGATGAAGACCACACCATATTCGAGGGCGAGATGAGAGAGGGCGGAAAGGGCGGCGAGGGTGCTAGCAGTGTCATGACGCCGTACATCCGGCTGAGACACTCGGTTTAGTCACTTAACCAAAACCAATAGGTGTGACAGGACACGACACGACGAAGAATGCGTCAAAGGATTTCCCAGTTCAAAATAGGCTCGCGACTCTTGGAAAGGAGATTGAACAGGCACAGGATCATCTCAGGGACAAACTCGAGGGAATCACACACATCAAGGGCACTCACTCATGTCGATTTCCTTCCTCAGCTTGGACGAGTGTGTGTGTCTGTATCAAGAGATGATGCATCGTCTATGAAAGAGTGCTGGTGGACGTCAGATGAAGTAGTACCTTGCTGCTAGATAGCATGCAAACCTTCCAATGTCAACAGATGATGTCAAGTCGTCAACATACCTAGTAGGTTTAGCAAGTAAGCCCTTTATTTCCCGACCGTTTTCTATTTCTTCTTCAGCAGACTCTCGTCGACATTGACCTCTACCGTCCTGGAACCCTCAGTCTTCTGCGCAATCCGCACAACAACATTTTCCAACCGCCACTCCATACCCGGGTACGCATCGCTCATCACGAGAATATCGACTTTCATTTCCTCCGGTCCACTTCTCAAGTTAGATTCCAGCGCTGGGATCTTGAGCTTGACGTTTGCAGTTCCTACCACCCTGCTTTGAGTTCCCTGTTTTGTGGTAGACCAATTCGCCCTTTTCAAAGCCAAGATATCCATTCCTTGGGTGGTCGTCGCTGATCCAGGAGGCAGCACAAGTACAAAGTAGCCCTCTGTCTGTGGTTTGGGGAATTTCGGGGCATATACTCTGCCTTCATGGTCAAGTAGCCGATTACTGCGTTTCATAGTGAGTTGCAAATTGTCCGTGTCGCCCGTAGCAGACAAAGCAAGGGCAGGAAGTGCATTCACAGCTTTGATGAATGCCGTTCGTGTATTGTGGCCCTTTATTCCGAACACGTTCATCAACCCTTCAATCGTCTTCGCTCCATGCTTTGTGGACAGGACAGCCGTCGTGACCAAATCCTTGGGAACTTTGCCCTCGAGCTTTTCGTCAAACATCTCATCCACGCCGGGCAATATGCTCAGTGGATAATCCTCCGGCCATCGAGCAGACTTGATACATTGCAGTAGTTTCACCATTTGCACCACAGCATCAAACCGGTTGAGCTCCGTCATGACGTCAATTCCGGCCTGGACGATACGAATGCCTTGGTCCAATACCGAGATTTGGTCACCAACATAGTCGGAAATAGGGAGGTCGATACGGGCCATGAACGCCTGGATGAGAAGGAATGCTTTGACATGAGGATCCCACATTGGCAGATTCTCCATCAGGCCTTCGGTATCCAGAGGTAAGTTCTTGGCCAGCTCCGCGTTGATAAGGTCTTCATTATGCCGCACAGGAAGATCGTCAAATTCAGTTGCCAGGCTAATCCAAGCTAGAGCGTCTGCAAAGGTTGTAGAGGTGGTTCTGCGGGCTTTCGACAGAAACTTGCGAATCGTCAAGTGGCTGAGATAGTAATATGACATGATTTTGCCGAATGGAGTGCTATCCACGTCTCCGTTGTTGTGTACCAGAACACAATCACTTTCCGCGAGATCGTCGAGTGACTTGTCTACTAATGTGATCATGTAATCTGCCGCAGCTTGTCTTGCAGCAAGCTGATTCTCCTTGTGCT